CTCCTTGATGATGACCGTAATGCTGTCAAAACACTGCTTCAGACTTTCACTCACAGCCACTTTCCTGTAGCTTAGTGTCTGTTTTTAGAAGGTCCTGCATCACTGGTGAAGTACAGATGAAGTTAGTTTTCAGCGTAGGTGGAGCCCCGGTAGCCGACCCTCACCCAGAATCTACCTCAGTGGGTTTATCACTGTGCAAATAGTGAGTCTGCCGTGTTCATTTAGCGGGTCAAGGCTTCTACTAAGGCAGAATGTCTGTTTTGTGTAAGAGTGTATGAGGAGGGCCGTTTCAGAAAGGATTTGCATGAGGTTTGCAAAGCGGAGTCTGCTGCTGAACTCAGTCGTTTGTGCCAGCCAAGTCAGTGGGTCAGTTGGTCAGGCAGCCGTCCCGCCAGGAAAAGTCAGACTCCTCTCTGGAAACAGTAAACCGTCAAGCCGACAGTGTCCTGCTATCTTTCATTTATTCATTAAAATGAACAGTGTTACATTACCAGACCTTACAGTCCACAACCAGAGCCTCAACACCACGCCAGATGGCTGACACTGTTGAGGCGGATGTTGGCTTACCTCTATCGTATATATGTATGATGTGCAAAACAAGTGCTTTACAGTGATGAAACGAGATTCTGGGCTTTGTCTCCCAAATGTGTCTGTTTACAATAATATTGTACATTATGCAAAAAAAATCTAGAGAAGTAGTGTTAAAACTGTAGTTTGTCACAACCTGCAACACCTGAGCTGAGCAGCAGCCTGTTAAAGGGAAACTCTGTTCCGATGCTTTCCTGGCTCAGAACGGGCCTTTTGGTGGTGACTACACATGACAGTCAGAATGATTAGTTTGCACATAGTAAAAGCATCGAGCCTGTGTTGGCTTATTGGACAGCAGTCTATTCATTTTCCTTTTCTGACAGTGAGATAAAGGATAAATGTCTATGATGCTCGAGTAAATGAAAACTGAATGAACAAAACTGGTTGAAAGAATAAACAAATTATTCCTAGTTCTTATCATTTTAGTCCAGGTGATCTTTCTTTAGTGCTGCTAAAACCTCTTTGGGTCGCATCAAAAATTCATCTATGCAGGAAAAACCATTAGTTCAGGAAGAAGGACCGTGTGAAGGATTTTGTGGCTCCAGAGGGAGCTGTTCAAAATCAACAAAAAGTGAAATGATTACTGAGTGCACTGTGTAAAAATTAAAATCCTGTGCTATTGCAGTATGACTATATTCAATAAATTTGTGTTTAACTACATGGAATGCCGTTTTTTTTTAGGACTTCTATGTACCTACGTATGATAAAGTAACAAAACTGTCCATCATTGGCTTGACAGATCAGAGTGAAATACTGGTGGTTGCGTACTCTCTGAAGCTTACCTTGTTTATTGTTGAAGTATAAAATATGGAATAATAATCATGGATAACGATGGAGTTTTAAAAATTGTGTGTTAATCTTTAGAATATACAAACATCACACTTGCATATAAATTAAATATTAATGACATTTTTAAATTATCTGTTTTTAAGCAGCACTGTCTGCTTCTGCCCTTAGAAATCCAGCTTAGACTAAGCTCTACATTTTATACAGCAATAAAGGTTAATGGGATGCTTAGCCAGATATTATATTATTATATTATAATATCATAATAAATCTTGTTTCTTCTGTAAATTGAGCCAGTTTTGTTGCTGTGCTTCTACTTAAATTGAAGTCTGTCTTTTTCGTAAAAGCAATTTGTTTACCCTCACACTCTGATAGATGGTAAAGTCATGTAGATGTAAAAGGAGAAGCAAAATGAAAGAAGGGAAGAAACTGAAGAAGGGAAGGACGATAAAAGAGAGTGAATAAGAGGAGGACCTGACCAAGGAGGAGTGAGGAAGGAGAGAGGGAGAGCGACAGATGGCAGGCAGTAGATTAGCCCTCCCTTGCTGTTCTTTGTGATTGTAAGATCATCAACCAGAAAAGATGCACACTGTCACTCTCATTCTGCTTCTCTCTCCTCCTCCTCCTTCTTTCGTTATCTCATTCATTCTTCTACACAAAGCTCTGATCAGCAGACAAGTCAGATATTGGCGGCGTCGCTTCCTAAAAATCACTCGTCAATCTGTAGTACTTTAGCGCTGCCCCAGTTTCCAGCGTAACTCTGACGTCTGAGGCTGATATATTCTCTGGGACATTAAAGCCGTCCCTCTGCCAAAATCCATGATCTCTTCCTGTCAACCGATGCTGGGTGAGGAAATGCTTGTGTCTGTAGGTTACCGGGCAGGAAGTGCTGAGCAGAAAGATTGGAATTTCTCTCCTTCTTTTCCTCCTCCACCTTCATCACATGAGTCTGACTGGCTGATTGGAGAGAGATAATCCAAGTTGAAGCAGCTGTTCAGCATAACTCTGATCAAATCAATACAAATGATACAAAAACAATCTGATAGTTTGATTCACGGTGTTCCCAGTGGGGGGTGTGCCTCTATTAATAATAATTCATTTACCTGCAAGAGAATTAAAGATGAAATCGTCTTGGTATTTGGTGTTATACTGCTTCTGTGAAATTCTTTTCGTAGGATTTAGTGTGTGTAGGGAATGCAGCTTGCTCGTGCCTGTCCTTTGCTGTGACCTCTTGAAGCAAAAGTTCACTCTATTCATTCCACAGCAAAAAACTGTTTGAAATCTAAACAAGGCGGTTTTGTGCTGGCTGTACAGGAACGGACAGTGCTGCAGTCACAAATGAGACCTATAAATATACCTGCAAACCCAGCACACTACAATGTTCTGATCTTTTGTCAACAAGGAGACCTTATATGGTACATTTAGTCTGTGGACACACAGTCTAGCACATATAGCATGTTATGACCAACCACAAACGGTCTCCAAGGGGTCAACGAATATGTTTTTTTTTAAAGACAAATACCCATATCAATTATTAGTAATCAAGGAGACCAATAACTAACATTTGAAAGTGATGTGTACTTGCTTGTGGTGTCAAAATTTGGAATAACACAAATTCTAATACAAAAATTTGTTGAAATGCTTTTGTTTATTTTAGTTTTACATATGTTGAATTAAAAGTGAATGTTCCATCATGTATGCTGCAGTGATGAAAGGCCAATCACATGGAGAAGTTAGTGAAAATGTTGACCTATTTGTGCCACTAAAGGATCAATAAGATCAGATCAATAAGATAACTAGATCAATAAGTCACTAGAATTTATCATCAAGGGACTTCCAATGTGTGTGTCAGATTCCATGGCAGTGCTTTTAGTAGTTGTTGATATATTTAACTATAAATCACAAACATCAACTCATTAGTGCAGCTAGAGGAAAAGTCAGCTAATCTTCAAAGTATTTAAGCCCTGGGCACCATGGATGTCTGTACAAAATGTTTAGATATTTCATTCTGGACCAAAGTGGTGGTCTGGCTGACATGGCCATCTCTAAAAAAAAAAAAAAAAGAAAAAGAAAAAGAAATCACGTATCTCCCACATGTGATCTGACAGAAACTGCAAAATGTAAAAGAATGTGATAAATTAGAGAAGCTCTACAGCTAATTATCAGTCTGGTTCTGTTCACTGACTACACTGCTACACACACCTCTCCTGAGAAACCTTTTTTAGTAAACTGATCAAATTTGTCAAAGAAAAGTGAGAGGCGGACACTTTCCACTAATTGTAAAAGTACTTCAAACTTGCAAGCTGATGTTGTAGAAGAAGTGGTGCTTCCTGCTACTGAACACATTTATGCAACAATAGGCACATTTCCACACTTTATTCGCATGTGAATGACTCAACAAGAACAGTTTTAAACCGTGATGAAACAGACTTTTATGAAGACTTTGTCGCGGCTGGCAGGAAGGGAGGTTGGAAATCACTAGAAGTGCTGATTGGTTGCTCTGTTTTTAGTCATGCTCATGGAATGACTAAACGGATGGCAGTGTAGGTCCACCACTTGGATCCTGATGGAAATATCTCAATAACTACTAAATGGATTGCTATAAAAAATTCGTCCAGATTTTCGAAATCAACTTTAGTGATTTGGTGCTCCCTCCACATTTTGTTGTTAGAAATTTGTTACACAAATGTGTTTTATCTAAATGATGTTTTTTGATATTTCTGGCTTTTTTATTTAGTGCCATCATCAGGTGGAAAATATTTAGTTAAAATTTCTTTAGTATTTTTATTTATGACCAAATACAAGCAAAAATAAGTCCCGTCTGCTGCAAAAATGTTACCATGTTAACACCCTAAAGTAAAAATGATAACAAACATTATACCTGCTTGATATTAGCATGTTAGCATTGTAGCTCTAAGTGTGTTAGCATGTAGCTCAGAGCGCCGCTGTGCCTATGTACGGCCTCACAGAGCTGCTAGCAGGCTTCTTAATCTTATATCAAAGCGTACTCTGAATGTTCACAAAGAATTACTGTCCTACCACAGTAGAAAATGTAAAATCACAGAACTATCATGAGGTCAAACCATCAGTTTCAGCCTCACTATGTGCTTCTCCTGTCCATGGTGACGGGTTCATGGTGTTGACAGAGGTATGGGCAGAGCTGGACAGTTTCTAAAAGAAGTGATCTGAGACACTACAGGTCCTTTGTTTAAGTTTGTGTTGGCTGTTAGGAGAACCCAATCTGATCCAACACAGTTCTGAACTGTGGTTTGTATTCCCGGGGTCAGTAAATGTAAAATTCTTCTAAGAACTGTTTGTCAGTTGTGTTTGTGTTGTATGTGTTGCACTGGTCTCTGGCCACTACAGAGTCAGTATGGATAGTATTGAAACAAGTCCCAGTGGTTTCAAAGGTTTGGGACGTGGCCAGTGTGCTCCTGACTGTAGAGAACAGGAGAAGCCCTGTTTGACTCTGCTGACCGACCAGAATCTCTCTCTCTCTCTCTCTCTCTCTCCTCGATCTGTCTGTTCCTCTCTCTGCCTTTTTCTCTCCTCCTCTCAGTGACAGCGCTGTCCTGTCTTAGCTGCAGTATTGACTGATGACTGGACTGTGACTGTGTGTTTTGCAGATGGCTGCGAGCAGTAGCTGAGGACGCCGCTGGGAGTTCCCCTCTGCAAATATGAATGGTAAGACCACTGCAGTTTGTGTATGTGTAAAACAGCGTATAAACCTGTATGTGTGTGTGTGGAGAGAGAAAGCGAAAGGTGTGTGTTTTTTGGCTCTGCAGATCTGCTAAGGGCAGCACAGTGTTCTTTCTTGTAGTAAATTGCAGTTTCATGCTGATTTATGTGCACACGTAGTTCCAAATATTTCTTATTTCGTTCTTATCATTTGTGTATTTGTGAGGTTTCAAACGTAAAATCTCCTCTGGATCAGATTTGTAGCACTACTTTGAGTCACATTTTGACACCAGCTGTTAATACAGTTTCAGTTATGGGACTAAAGTTAAACAAACTGTATCTAAATACTTTTTTTTTCTTTTTTTTTTAAAGATAGTGCATTAAACTGTCTATTCACTGTCTGCTGATGTACCACAGACTGATGTGTTGTCAGCCTTGGTTGTGTAAATACTACTGAAAGTGTGTGCTTGTCCTGTCCTCTTGTCTGAACTCAGGGACACAGCATCACTGGCATCACTAAGCTTCATTATCACTTTGTCAATATCAGTGCATTCCAGCTCCTGACTGCCACTGAGGCTGGTCTCAGAGTACTTTCTCATCTCGTGTGTGTGTGTGTCTGTGTGAGTGAGTGTGTGTGTGTGTGTGTGTGTCTGTCTGTCTGTCTGAGTGTGCACCTGATTTCCTGCTCCTGTTTGTTTGCAAGTCATAAAACAGTTTCTTACTCTTTTGTAGTCATAGAAAGTGAATGAATAGAACCCCCTCCACACACACACACACACACACACACACACACACACACACACACACACACACACACACAAGGGTTCCTCGTCCCCTTCGAAGAAATGCAATGCACGACTCCTGCAGGCACCAGGATCCAAATTAAGTTCAGGGGGAAATTATTTTACCCCCAAAAGTCCCAGCTCAGGGCTGTTGTAATTTATTTATTTAGTACATGAACTGTTGGGGTGGGGCTTGCTCTGTTGAACATTTCTGATTGGTCGAATAATTGCAGCGTTTTATTTTAACCACCATCTTTAAATATTGGCTTCCAAGTATACAGTCTGTTCTTTGTTAGTCATGCTTTAAAACATCAGCGTAGAGTTACAGATGAAAGCATGTGACCCATTGACTAATAATGAAGTGCAGTGTAGTCGCAGTTGTTTTTTCATGTGCCAGCGCTCTATTTGCATACATTGTTCAGGTCTTTGAACTGCCATGGAAATGCAGACAACCAATGATCTGAAGGAACCTTTTAGTTCCTTGAAAAAATATGATGGGACTAAGAATTCTAGGTACTTTGGGTGGAAATCATAGTGTGTATATGAAGTTGGACAAGCCCTCTGCGGTATCACCCTTTTAAAGCTCAGTGTGTTTGCTCCTGACATGGCCGTCATGGTGATGCCTGATTCCGCCTACCTGCTGGTTAATGCAAATACTGGCAAAGAGGTGGAGCTGAGGTGGGCCACAGACTGTCACATAAAGGAACCTTCTTGTCACTCACAGTAGCCATTCCCTTAATTATGCATAAGAAAACTTTAAGCTTTAAGACAATTTACAGTTGTCATGAATGAGGAGATTAGGTCGACAAAATGAAGCAGTTTTTTTGTACGAGGCTGTTAATATGTCTATTTCTGCTGTAAAGGAGAGCATTATAACAGAGGGATTTGTGGAGATTGATTCACTTTTGGCCGTTTGAGGAACTTCAGCTTGTGTTAGCTTCATTTTTAAACTTTGGAGATTGTCGCCTGGCAGAACCACAGCTAATGTAGTCAGATGCAGGCGCTTATTGTGTGTAATTTACACTTTTTGTAAACCGTGTGAACCTCTGTAAACTTTGGTCTATTCAAGAAGCAGGCTTCTCAACAGAAAGCACAAAGTTCCCATATTTGAAGCATGAGCAGATGTAAGGACCTTAGTGTTATTCTGAAAAGTGTTTTTCTAGATTAAACCTGCTCCTTGGAGCTGCTTGGCCTGTTGTCTGAAGCTTCACATGAACCTGTCACTTCTCTTTCTCTGTAGGTGGTCTAAGTATTTGGGCAATCTCCCCAGAGGAGAGGGTCAAACATGATCAGAAGTTTGACACCCTCTCCCCATCAATGGGCTATGTCTCAGGTACACACACTTACACACACACACACCTGTACACACTGTTGGTACACAGTTATTGCCCAGCCAGTGATTAATGATGCAATGCATGGCACATCCTGCAGTCATCAATGTATAAACCGAAGAGATACCCTAGTATTACCCTCAACAGTGCACAGGCACATGAAAATGCACAGATGTTGAACTGCTTAAGTGATTATGCAAATACAGACATACTGCAGCGAGTGATGTACAGCCTTGCATTTGTAATCAGACACATATTTTTTTCATGCTGCAGAATCTCCAATTTCATTACATTTTTCTCTTTTTTCCTCTTTTTTAATTTTATAGGGGAACAAGCAAGGAAGTTTTTCCTTCAATCTGGGCTTCCTTCCAACATACTGGCGGACATATGGTGAGAAACACGCATATTCGCTCTCACACCTCGACAGATTTGTTAGTGATGAGTTTTCCTGAAAGATTTCACTGAAATCTATACTCGAGGCACACAATCTTTACTCTCACTCATGGTGTTTTATCTGTGTCCTAGGGCTCTGGCTGATATGAATAAAGATGGAAAGATGGACAGGTTGGAGTTTTCCATCGCTATGAAGCTCATAAAGCTAAAACTTCAGGGCACGTCGCTTCCCTCAGCACTGCCAATCATCATGAAGCAGCCTCCAGTGCCGGCTCCCAGCCTAAATAACCCCACCTCAACCATGACCAACTCAGTCTATGGTACAGTGTTATTGGTATTATAAAACACTTTACTGTGTGTGGATGAGAGTGAAAAAAATGTCTTTATCTTCAACTGTCACAATTGATCCCATTTTGGTATTTTAAAAATATTGACCAGCTAATCTAAAGTGTGACTCACTGATTGTCTCCAGAAATGCGTTTCACATTTATTTGACTCATGTGTCGTCTGAACTGTTGTTTGGTGTGTCTCTGTGTGTATTATAGGTATGGGTTCTGTGCCTAACTTGTCCATGATGCCGGGAACAAACCTTTCTATGTTGACTCCCATCTCCCTGGCAACCCCTGGATTCACACCTTTACAACCAATGACAGGCCTCGCCCCTTTGGTTCCTACAGCAACAGGTCTGAGCCCACTAATAGGATCCACCCCCAACAGGCCCCTGATGCCCACCGTAGGAAACGCCACGTTGCCAAACGGCACCATGGGAATGCTCCATCCAATGACAGCTGGCGCTTTGACTCCAGGTACATGTGATCTGTTTGCTCTTCTGTGTTTTCCTCTGATATTATTCAGGTGTCACTGCACTGAAAGGAAAATCATTGTTATTGTCTCCATTATGCTTGATGCTTCTTTGCTGTTTCTTGTCGCATGGAAACTATCGAGGAGAATTGCTCTGCTCTGATAGTAAAGGCTGTATATGTGTACATGGTGCAGTATTTCTGTAGTTGTAAAAGAAAAAGGAGGGAAAAAGAATGACCCTTTTTGTAGAATTAGGTCTGTCAGTCTAGTGTCCATACAAATAGCCTCTCTGTCCTTGACAAGGCTACAGTACTGAAAGGATCTAAATATATTACTGAGCTTCTACGGAGCCTCCTTACCCATTCTCAAAACCATAGCAAAAATTATAAACATTAGGAAAAATGAGTGCATCGAATTTAATAGTTGTAGTTAGTTATTTTAACAAGATGTCCTAATAATGTTGCAAATGACAGCATAAACTCACAGCTAATGTAAGGGATATGTGTGTATGCTTCAGGCCTACCTCTATCTGCAACCTCCTACTCCTCTCCGCTTGGACTGTCCTCTTCTCCTGCTGGTATGAGCAAGGCCTCGTCACTGCTGGACCTGGGATCTGGCAGGTAAAACACACACAGAAGCAGAAATTTAAAAGCAGGAAGCTTTAAACCTTTTTGCACAATCAGTGTGTCGTTTATCTAATTTGTGTCTTTAAGCGTTCAGACAATTCAAAGTAAAGTTCGGTGTGTTCTGTCTTTCAGCTCCGCTTCCTCGTCCCCCTCTATGATGTCCCCCATGGCTGCTGGGCCCAGTGACTGGGCTGTGCCACATGCCTCCAGACTTAAATACAGACAGCAGTTCAACAGCTTGGATAAACAGATGATCGGTTACCTCGCTGGTAAGATGTGTTTGTATATGTGTCGTGTTTAGGTCATACAAAACCAAGCTATGTGTGGAATGCAGGCGTGGATGTTCATGAACAACATTCACTGAGGATGTCATAATGGTCGCCTCCCTCTTTTTTCTTTTTCTTTTTTTTTTTCTGACAATGTGCTAAGTCTTAGTTGACTCTTAGGAAGTGGAGGTTGTATCTTGCGGGTGTGTTCAGACATGGGGTAGTTTCTCAACACACACAAACACCCAACTACGCATGTGACTTTTTGTTCTGCAAGAGAGCAAGTCCTGCTCAACCTGTTCTCATGAAACACCCGTGATTTAGTGAAATGATAGTGGCACATGCAAACACTCACTCACTTCAGCCAGTTCCTTACTATTGTGACTTAGCAAATCATATTACATAAATAGCTTGTTTTTCTGTGTTTGAGTTCTTGGCATAAACCTTTTGTAAACCGATTAAAAAGACTGACAGTTGTTCATGCTGTCACAGTTCTTGTATAGTCATCTTTTATAAGCAAGGAAGGGAATGACGGTTAAACGCTTCTGTATTCCCTTTTCATCTTTAGGCTGTTGTGCAGTTTTGTCATACAGTGTTGGGAATATGTGATGCACGAGACTGTTGCTTCCACCTGGCACATTTGGAATTTGCCTTAATTAATCATTATTAGCACATACTGTACATACACACACACACACACCCACACACCCACACCCATCACTTCTTCCTTCCTCCACGTCGCCCACACATCTGTGCTATACACATGTTCTGACATTTGTCGCTCATATTGTCAGGTCAGCAGGTGAGGGGAGCCATGGCAACCACGATGCTGACACAGACACAGCTGGCTTCCATCTGGTGAGAACATCTATGTGTTTGGGTGTGTGTCTGTACATGTCCTGTGATTGTTAAGGTGTTGTGTTAAGGAGCCAAAGTCAGGTTTGGCAGCCATAAGACAGAAACTTCATTCCATTCAATGTGATATGACAATAGCTCTCTGTTTGTTAAGGAAATATTTGTTTCCAATTCATGAATGTTGTTAGTATCTGTTACCAGTTATCAAACCAAAGTAATGTTGGTTTGTTGAACAGCCAATAGTTACAACACTCTCTTTCTCAAAAGATGTGTGATTGGCTAAAACCTCCCGTCACATGCTTTATTTAAAGCCTGAAAACAGAACTTAGAGGAGGTGCAGAAGTCTGGTTTCCTTTCTGACCACTTATTATGACAAAAGACAAAAATCTCCCTTCCTCAGCTTTACATTCTAAGTATTCATAAGGTATCATTGCTGCGATGTTTTAAACTCCTGAAAACCTTTTCATGCAAATCAGCAAACTGCAAGATCTTAAGGACTCCTTCACTAAGTTTACACATGACACTATGTAGTACATACAAAACTCCTTCTGCTATCACCAGACAATATATGTGTTGCGTTAAATAGTATTTTATACAGTATAAGCAACATAGAAGCCACAGCTAATACTCGTTTTCAAGTTTTCATTCAGCTAAGGTGCAGTCGTCATATTGACCCTGTATCTTGTGTTTCAGTCTGGACACATAAAGTCGATCAGATTCTCTATTTTTATCTCCTATCTGTACCTCTACTGCCTTGAAAGGTTATCACCAAACATTACAGTGTACAGTCATATAAAATATTTGCATCTCCAATTTGTAACCCTCTTACAGGACTTTAGCTGATGTGGATAAGGATGGCAAGCTAAAAGCAGAAGAGTTTATTCTGGCAATGCATCTTGTGGACATGGCAAAGAGCGGACAACCACTGCCACTAACACTGCCAACTGAGCTGGTACCACCCTCACAAAGGTATGTGGACACATTAAACTGTACAGAACACCCTTAAAATATAAATTCCTGACCTAAGTTTTTTTTAAGCAGTTATGTTCTTTAATCATTGGTTATTTTAATTTGTTTGTTAACATGCTATTTGATCGATGTAAACTGTGCATTCAGACAAGTTATTTTCATTCCGTGTTACAGGGGAGCTGTGAATGGATCCAGCTCTTCTCTCTATGCAGCTCTGACTGAGGACTTTGACGTAGAACCTCCACAGAAAGCCAAAACCAACAGTCAGTACTCACACTACCAACCGTGCAGACAGACTGCCGCCTTGTTTAACTGCTGCATTATGTACAAGTAGTGGCTGTGTATCACGTTGGTGCAGCTGGCATGGCTGTCAAACTTGCTATTTATCTTTGCACACATACTGACAAGCAGTAATACGACAGCATCAATACACACACGTTGTTGTGTCACATACAGAAGCCACCTGCAACACGCTAAAGTATAGTCAATCAAGAGCAGACAAGTGATACACAAGTATGTAGGACACCACACTTGTGTCGGTGTTGGGTTTGTACACACTATCATCTTACAAGTCACAGGGCAACTTGTAGCAGCTGGTAAAAAATGTTATATCAAGAGCAGCTAAATGCTTTTTTTAAAATCCTCTAAATCTCCTAAACATCAATTAAAGTCTCATATTCTCATCTTTCCCTGTGGCAGTTGTACTACAAGTGTTAAATTTATGTGTTCGTGTTCACTGGCATTCTTTTAAACACAATTAAGTAATCAGTAATAGAACTGAACCGATTAATAGATTAGTTAACGAATAAATTAACATTTTGACAGTTCGTCAGTTTCAGTAATATTTTAAGGTAAAAAAGTCAAATTCTCTCATTCCAGCTTTGTAAATTTTGAATATTTTCTTTTCTTCTCTGACAGTAAACTTTTAGGAAACACAATTGTTCAATTGTTTGTTCACGATTTTCTGACATTTTATAGACCCAACAACGAATCAAATAATTGACAAAATAGTCGACAGATTAAATGACAATGAAAATACTTGTTAGTTGCAGCCCTAATAGTAATTCAAGTCAATCAAATAAGTCCTCCACATATTTTGTAAATGTCAGTGTGAAAAGTACGTTAAAGCTGACTTCATCCGAACTTTTCCCTCCCCGACATTCAGTGTCGTTTGAGGATAAATTCAAAGCCAACTTGGAGCGAGGGAATGCCGAACTGGAGAAGAGACGACTGGCGCTGCAGGAGGCCGAGAGGAGGGAGCAGGAGCGACGCGCTCAGAAGGAGAGAGAGGAGCGAGAGAAGAGAGAGAGGGAGGCTCGGGAGGTCGAGGAGAGGAGGAGGAAAGAGGAGGAGAGGAGGCTGGAACGACAGAGAGAGCTGGAGAGACAGAAAGAAGAGGAGCGACAGAGAGAGATAGAGAGGAAAGAGGTGAGGGGGCATGTTGCAGAATGAGCTCTGTATGTACATGTATGAATTCTGAGTGTGTGTCCTGCAACCACTGCGGCGAGACATTCGTTCACACCGATGCATCAATATTTACTTCACTGTGCTGCTCTGCTGTGTGTGTTCATTCGAGGCTGCACAGCGGGAGCTCGAGCGTCAGAGGAAAGAGGAGTGGGAGAGGAGGAGGCGAGGAGAGCTTCAGATAAAGAGGGAGCAGGAGCAGGATGAAATCATCCAGCTAAAGGCTAAGAAGAGGAGTCTGGAGATGGAGCTGGAGGCAGTGGTGAGTGGCGAAGAGAGAGTGCAGCAGACACACTCTCTGTATGTTCAGATGTCTTTCACCCATCATAAACACATTAAATTTACCTCACCTCTCTGTCTTCTTCTGTCTCTCTGCTTCAGGGCAACAAACATCGTCAGATCTCAGACCGACTGCGGGACGTTCAAAACAAAAAGAAACTTCAGAAGACGGAGATCGATCTGAACAATCAAAGGAAAGAGACACGCCAACAGGATATTAACGACCTTCATAGACAGCTAGAGGTCTGTGTGCTTGATATTTTTCTGCCCATGCGTTTCCAAGTTCACCTCAGTCGCTCCTGTGTTTTTATTGTGGCAAATTAGCTGAGACAGTTATTAATGGTTGTAGCAGCTCTGTGTTATCAGTGTTTATGTGTCTGCTCATTGCTTTCCTGAGAGGGAGCGTATTATTGTTATCTCAGACGTTTTCCTCTAGTGATGAATTTCTTGTTTGCGTTTTCTCTATCAGGAGTTCCAGAGGAAGCTGTCTCATCTGAGTCCAGAGCAGAAGAGACTGAATGAAAAACTGAGAAACATGGGTCTAAATAACCTGCCTGGTGAGTACTGGGTTATAAATGGGCACAGCTCAGGAAAAATAAACTCAGGAGCCAGGGATGGATGTAAAATAGGCAGAAGTGCAAAACATTTAATAGAAAAACTGTGTTCTTGTAGTTGAACATTTTAAATGTATATATTATGATACTCATTTAACATAATACATTGGACTACTGCAACACAGTGTTAATTTTGTGACGTTTTTAAGATGGTAAATGTACAAGCGTATGCAGGGTGTACAAAATTACAACAACAAAGTATTGGAAAATTATACGTTGAAATATTTTTGCTCAATAAACTTGCCTCCTGTTGTTGGAATGGTCTCAAACAGACAATTTAACTGAATTTCTTCTGTTGATAGTGTCGAGTCTGTCCACCCTAAAGAGGGGTGTGACAGAGAAAAATGGGAAATGTATGAAACTGCGAGACCAGATGGAAGCTCTGGAGAAAGAAACTGCTGCCAAACTAGCTGAGATGGACCAGTACAACAAAGACATGCAGGTAGGAATTCGTCACAAGCATTGCATTATTAGAGTGACTCAACTTAGTATTAGTTATAACAACATTTCACTCATATCAATCATGCTGAGCCTGTGTTTATTCAGGAAAATTACGTACCAGTTCTTCAACATGACATAAAAAGTTAAGTACAGATAAAGAGTCCAAAGTCTTTATTTCACTTTTTAAAATGTTGCTGCAGAACTGTTTCTATATCCAAAATACCTCAAGAAAGAATGTTCATTTTATCATATTAGTTCTTGTTTGTAGCCGTGGCTCACTGACCAGTCACCAACATTTGTTCAGGATGCTTTTCATCCTGGGGAACTTCACCGTGTTGAGCTGTCGTGACAACCTTCCCCTAAAGGCATACAATTAAAAATGTCATGACAGCACGGATGTATTTACGTACTTTATTGTATTCTGGAGAGTTTAGTCCTGTCATTGATGCCCAGTAATGAAAAGGTCAAGACTTAAATTTGTGATATGTTTCTCACTGTGCTTGTTACTCCTCAAACCTCTTTTTAACAATAAGTTGAGCTATTGCTGCTCATTCTTAATTAGTATCAGTAGCTAAACACTTAAAATGACCACCTAGCTATGACTGTTAGTACAATATGTGATCAGAAGTGTGTTTCTACAGTTGGCAGTTTGACGCTTTAACAAGGAGGTGCTGGCAGTTTTGATTCTCGCTACCTTACAGATTAAACCTAACACGTCTTTGCATGTTGTTTGCCTGAGATTAAAGCTGTGATCTTTGTGCAGCACCTTGATAGTAAAATATTAATCCTCACTTCTGATTCCTGGCCTTTGAGGCCTTTTCTTTGTCCTCCTTCATTCCCATCATACTTTCTTGTCACCCATTTTACTCCTTTCACTTTAATTTGCCTCTTCTGCACTTTCATCTCCTTTGGAAATGCTCTGCTCTTTCCTCCACTGGATCCCTTCTCCTTCCTCTCATCCATCCCATACTCCTTCTCCCCACCTTTACAGTATGTGGGTGCTGAGGACTCAATGCTTCAGGCTGTCTTCTGTCTGCTGGCCTGCCTCCGTAACCTCTTCTACCTACTAAAGGTTTTTGCTTTAGGTCTCTTTGTTGTTCTTGTCTTCTTTTTTGTCTGACTTCTTTTGGTCTTTACTAAAGTTTGTTTCTTTCGACTTATATCTCTTTCTTTTCTTCGCTTTCTCTCGTGCACTGTAGCCAGGTGTTTGCTGCTATTTGTTTGTGCATGCTGTTTGTTTACAGTCCTTATCCTTTTCTGTTTATCTAGTCATTCATTATTTAATTCAGTCACGTCTTTCACTCTGCTGATGTGTGTGTGTTTTTGTGTATACCAGGAGCTGAGAGAGAGCCAGAGAAAGCAGCAGGCAGCACTGGAGAAACTGCGAAGCATCAAAGAAGACAAACGGCGTGAGCTGATTCGAAGGAAGGAGCAGGAAGAGGAGAGGAGGAGGGACGAGGAGAAGAAACGACATGAGGAGGAAAGGAAGCGGAAGGAGGAGGAAGAAGCTCAGAGGTACAGTGCAGTGGTATTGTTGGATTTTATAATGAAGTGAACGTTTTGATTTGTTGACTTGTAGAATTTCCACGAGAAACGGACCGAAAAGAACTTTTTATTCTTGACGGCCAAACTTTTCACACTCACAGGCGTATTAAGATGGAGAAGGAGCGTCAGTGGCAGGAGAAGCTGAAGAGGGATGAAGAGGAGCGGCAGAGGAGGCTTCAGGAGGAGAGGGAGGCCAAACAGAGGGAGGAAGAGGAGAAAGAGAGACAGGCTCTCAGGGCTGCAAAGGAAGAGACAGAGCGGAAAAAGAGAGAGGAGGAGGACAGAAAGAAAAGAGAAGAGGAGGAGCGTCGGAGGCAAGCAGAAAGGCGGAGGCAGGAGGACGAGAGGAGAAAGCTGGAGGAGGAGAGGAGGCAGTTAGAGGAAGAGAGGAGGAAACTGGAGGAAGAGAGGAGGCAAGAGGAGAAGAGAAGGAAAGAAGAGGAGGAGCGACGCAAGAGGGAGGACGAGAGGAAGAGGTTAGAGGAGGAGAGGAGAGAGGAGGAGCGCAGGAGGGAGAGGGACGAGGAGGAGAGGAGGAGGCAGAGGGCGGCCGTAGCGGCTGCCCGAGATTTGGAGGACAGAAGAAAGCGAGAGGAGGAGGAGAGAAAGAAGAAAGAGGAGGACAGGAGAAAGCAGGATGAAGAAAGGAGAAAGCTTCATCAGCAGCAGGAGGAGGAGAAGAGGAGGCGTGAGGAGGAGAGAAAAAGGGCAGAAGAGGAGAGGAAAAGGAAGGAGGAGGAAGAGGGGAGGAGGAAAGCTGAGGAGGAGCGCAAGAGGAAGGAGGAGGCATCTCGTCAGCAGCAGCCAAATGGAGGGAAGGTGGATATTCAGGAGAAACTGACGTCTCTGCTGAGAGGACTAGAGGAGAGGAAGGGTGAGACATTCACAAACAAGTTGTCATACTTTTGTCTTTCAGTTTTTTGTTTCAATTGAAAACCCTTCAATTGATTCACATTATGACTCCTGATGTGCTGCTTCAGGTGGGCAGCCGAGGGCCAAACAACACAGAAAGTCAGCAGCTCTCACATCCTTCAAAGCGCTCTATCCATTCGACGCGCGAAACAACGAAGAGCTGAGCTTCGGTGCAGACGATATCATTGAGGTAAGAATAAAGTGATGTTTTCTGTCCAGATTGTCAGGACACATATTCTTGTGCAGATGTCATTTCTTTCATTCCTCTTCCTCCTCATGTAAAAGCTTTTCTCTCAAGCGTTTCTGTGTCGTTCTGTCAGGTCGATGAGACGACAGAGCGAGAGGAGGGCTGGCTGTATGGCAGCAGACAGGGGAAGATGGGCTGGTTCCCAGAGAGCTACGTCGAGAGAGTCGCCCCGTCAGATGCAGCTAATAACACTGCTGCTGCTTCCCCTAAAGTGCCGCTCCAGTCACAGCTCTCCAATGCCCTTGAGGCTGCCAAGGCAGCGGGGACAAAGTCTGCTTTCACACCGACACACTCTCCAAACCCTGCACCCTCTGAGACACAAGGACAGGTAACTAGAAAGTAACTAGATCAGCTTCTACTTTGTACCTGCTGCGGTGTGATTGTTGTCAGGACATGAAGAAATGCTCAGATACTCACTGCGCTGTTTTTTTTCAGCAGGTGGTAGGTAACCTGTTGGCCCAGGCTCTGTGTTCCTGGACAGCAAAGACAGACAACCATCTGAACTTCAACAAGGACGACGTCATTCAGGTGCTGGAGCAGCAGGAGAACTGGTGGCTGGGAGAGCTGAACGGTGAACAGGGCTGGTTCCCCAAGACATATGTGACACTGCTGGGTGAAGAGGAGAGTTCAGAGTAAGCGCTCATACCCACCTTGAATCAATCTAGCTGCATTTGTTAATTTAAAATGAATCTTGGAGCTCTTTCTGAGGACATCATTACCAATGTTAAAGTCAAACAACCCTTAGGATAATTTATCGGTGCCAGTCCAGACTTGTCGACGAAGCTTGTGCTGCCAAGTATTTAATTTATTTCAATTCCCCAGTTATGCTAACAAGCCTTCATTTGCATGTTTTTGTAATTTTTGTTTTTGCTTCTTATTAACTGTATGTTGAAGATGTTACAGAATGATTCCTGAACCTTAGATCTGCTTTACATTTTCTTACATTAGACCTCAAATAATATTATTCAAACTTAAGTTGACTTAAGTGATCCACAATTTAAGCATCACTGGTCAGGATCTGTTTTGTATCACTGTCTGTCTCAGTTACCTGAAGCACGTAGCTATCATTCTTCCATACCATTTTGTTACTGTTGAGATGCTTTTATCTCAGTAAATCACTGAAAACTGACAGGAGACACAAGATACATGTGAATGTACCTGCGCATACGGGTGTGGTAACAGCTGCAGTATGATAGGAATTCAGGACACTGATATGATTTCTTCTCTTCCCGTGATGCGGAATGTGCCGTCGCAACACTTACGTATCACACCGAAGCGTGCAGTTTCATTCATATATATTAATTACAGTGAATACTGTATAATTGCAGCTTGCACTGTGTCAGAATGTTGAGATGAAACTGAACCTGGAAGTGATGCTCTTGATTTACCGGTCAATCAAGTGCACTTTCTAACCTTTACTTGTATTCATGAGGTTTGGCTCATGACCAAAGCAGTGACATTGCAGGTTTAAGGAGCCCTGAGCAGAATCCCTGATTTATGATATTTCATCTCAGCGATATCTGACTGTAGAAGGCCTTGTATTTCCCAGCAGAAGCTGATCGACACGGCTGTGTGTGCATGCTTTGTGCACGATTGCTGGTTGCACCTGTGATCCTGATAGGAATATATGTGAACGATGGATGGAACAGATGAATAAGTGTAGCAATATAATCTTCGTACTCTTTTGTGTTTATAGCATTAAGAGCTCCACCTCTGATGCTCCAGAGTCTAGCGACAGCCTGCAGCTTGAAGGTACAGTAACAATTCCTGTGAAAGCTCATTGTAATTTAGTTGAATGACTGTTCAGGCTTCACACATTATATACAACCTGCAACATTTAATGAGGATTTCACATGTGTTGACAGACATACATGACTTTCTTCATCTGGAACTTAAATTATTTGTCATGTCTTAAGTTTACAAAGATAATGTGGATTTCCCTCAGAGTTAAATAATGTTCATCTTCATTTCTTACGTGTCAGAAATCTTGCAGACGGTCATTCTGGTGTAGTTAGTATAACCCTCTCAACTGCCAAATTGTGGAGTGTAGCCTGTTTTAGCAGCACGACCTTACCTGTGGCTACATCGCTGTTTATTTATGTTCATGTGTGTTTGCAGAATATGTGGCGTTGTACACCTACGAGTCTCCGGAGCCTGGTGATCTGACGTTCAGTGAGGGAGATGTGATCTTGGTGAGCAAGAGGGAGGGAGAGTGGTGGAACGGCTCCATAGGCGACCGCACAGGCCTCTTCCCCAGCAACTACGTCAAACCTAAAGAGGCTGATGTAAGGACACTGGAGACATTCTTACATATAGGGGCTGAACTGATCTAATGTGATAAATAATGTACAGAAATATGTTTAAGAGGTCTTGATTTAGCTCTTTAGTTTGTGGTGATGTAGTTATACTAAAATAACAAACCTATAATTTGTATTTTTTACAGACATCAAGCATATCTGGAAAGAAAAAGCCAGGTGAGTTCACCCTCTCCTCTGTCGTTTTTTTCCTCACTCGATTCCTGGTTGTGTCTTTGCTGTAGTTTCATTTTAATTTGTGTCTTGTGTGCGTGCAGAGATCGCCCAGGTGATCAGGGCCCACTCCTCTACCGGCTCTGAGCAGCTAAGTCTAGAAAATGGTCAGCTCATCGTCATCCTCGGCAAGACCGCCTCTGGCTGGTGGCTTGGAGAACTGCAGGTCAGCGCTTATCTGTTTTTTGTAATGTTTTTTTTTAATGCATCCTTATTTCTGCACAGTAGATAACCACAGACTTGACTGTTAGTGTAGCAGCCTACAGTTGCAGCAGTTTGGTTGTGACTAGTTCAAGTAATTTCTTTTTTTCTCATGTTTTTCTTTCATTTTGGAGGTGCAAGTTTGAGAAATAAGTAATTGTTTATGTCCTTTTTGCTCTTCTGTCCTATTAATTAGCGTGCAACCCCTCTGACTTATATTATGACCCTCATCTGCATTTGAGGTTTTTGATGGAAAACTGTGCGTTCAAGACTTTGAAGACTATTGTTTTTTTGTCACCAGCATCCCTCCTGTCTGATTTAAACTTCATCAATCATGTTTGCTTTTGTTTTCTAACTCCAGGCACGCGGTAAAAAGCGTCAAAAGGGCTGGTTCCCTTCCAGTAATGTTAAAATATTGGGATCTAACAGTGGAAAGTCAACACCAGCACACCAACCAGGTAAACACAAACCTTTGGAGGTCATGTGGGGGTGAGAGGTGACGTGAGGCAAAACGTATTAATAACTATAATGCGCTCTGTGCTCTCCTCCGTCAGTCTGTCAGGTGATCGCCATATACGACTACACGGCCGCCAATCAGGACGAGATGAGCTTCTCTAAAGGGCAACTCATCAACGTTCTAGACAAGAACAACCCTGACTGGTGGAAAGGGGAGCTCAACGGGGTCACTGGCCTGTTCCCCATCAACTACGTGAAGATGACCACAGCGGAGTGCGACCCCAGCCAGCAGTGTAAGTAAATCTCTCAGGCATCATTATATCACGGGTACTGTTTTTCCTCAAATAGTGACCAGGACCTTTGTTTACCTTTTAGTTTGCAGAGATTAGCAGACCTTCATTTGAGGCAGGCTTGTATTTGTGATATTTTATTATCAACACTTGTTTTAATCTGCTCCTGTTTGCTTCGCTAGAATTAGTTGATAGCACTATGAACACTACAGAGGGGAGAGACTCAGACCTTAGATCAGTGATACAATTCAGGTTTCTCAGCACATGCGCTATTAGTAGATTATCGGTTTATATGCACTCGTTTTGGTTAACACAGGAATCATGATGTCACAGCTTTGCTAATCGAATGTGTCAGCAGATTTAACAGAAGATGAGATACCAAACTGTAAGAATAATAGAACAAGCCGCCATGGAGCCGCTCGGTATGACAGAACATGCATAACAGGTTAGCTAGCATCCACAAGCTTTGCTGCCACAACTTCTCCAATGTGCTCACTACAGTCGATGTGAAGCAAATGTTTAACTCGACAGAAACCCTCTATTTCTTTTTTTATTACTGTGAAAAATTGTATGGTAGGGGCCGGCCTGTATTTGTTGGTAGTGACCGAACCCCTGACTATTTACTCCTGGTTGTTGTTTAAGGAAATACAGTATATATATGAAAGGAAATGTTAAAATCACTTCCATGTTGCTTCAAATTTCTGTGACTAACTAAACCTTACCTTCATCTATCCACCCCCTACCCACCATCACTGATAGTTTGCCATCAACACATCTGTCCATCCGTTTATCTTTTCTTCCCACTGACTTTGTCACTATTTCCCTGTTTTTCTCACTTCCTCCCTCTCTCCCTCTCTGATCTGTATTTTTCCTTCCCTCTCTCTCTCTCTCTCATTCCTCGGCCTCTGTCTCTTTCTTCTTCTAGGGTGGTAGAAAGACTCTTCCTCCTCCACCTCCTCCTTCTCTCCTCCTCCTGACTTCAGAGAGACCCACTATCACACTCTGCTCTGCCCGGGCGGAGTGTCTGGACTCTCTACCCACTAACTTCTCCCACTGAGCAACTGTTCTGTTTATGTGTGAGAGAAACACAGACTGTGAACAGGTGTCAGATTAAAAATGGAAAAAACGGGATCTTTGAGTGAATGAATTGGAACTTGAAGCGACTCTCTCGTGACTCTCTCTGTGCTGATTCTTTGAGATGCTAAAGCCTCGGTGCCTTGTTGATTCCCTCGGCTCTTGTTTTGATTGATGATGCTGAATCACAGGGAAAGTGAGTGAAGCAGAGCGATTGTGGGTTTCTCTGTGGCTCGTCCTTGTTCCTTCCTTTTATTTCTTTTCACGGAGTCACAAATACTTCCCCTCCATTTACCCCGACACCTTTTCCCTTGACATTTTTTTTCTACATTTCATTTTTTTCTTTCTTTTTCTTTTCGCCTTGTTTCTGAAACTTTTTATTTTTCTCCACCGTTCTTGCTCTCCAGTTCTGGGAGTTCATCTCACTTGGAGCCCACTAATTACATCTGTCTCCCCTCAGAGATGTGCCTGTATTCAGACATGAGGGTTAAGTTTGACTGGAACTTTCTTCTTCTTGTCTCTCAAACCTGTGGACAATGTGAGAAAGAATAGATCCTCCAGGTTTGACTCAAGCCAAAAAATGCTTGAAACAAGTCATTAAGTTTCTGTCTTTACAAAAAGAAATACTTTAAAAAGGAAGTAAACAAGACATGCTCAACAACATTTTTGCTCAGTACACTTGTACGGTAGAAGCTTGGATGTCTGCTCACTATAACCATTTTGCAGTGGGCCTTTGATTGTGACAAAGAACAGCAGAAGCATACAGTTAGTCCTGCACATATAAAAGCCATAAGCGGATCTGCTAATACTACTAACAGAGACATAATTGAGCATATGTAGTCTTGAAGTGAGCGACTCTTCACGATATAGAGAATAAGCTTCACTCCCAGGGGTGACGATGAGAAATGATTGCTGCACTTTCTATTCAACGAATGCTGTTTTTGCTGCTCTGACTGATTTCATTTATGCACAAAGTGAACAGGCTCACGGTGTTCACTACAGGTCACACACTAGAAAAAAAATAGCGTTGGGGATGCATTTCTTGCCGTTCAGCAAGTGAAAAATATATACTGTGGCCATGGATTCAGTTGAATGATGCTACATTACAGTCTGATGATCCCTGATGCGAGGAAAGCAAATTAAAGCACATGTTACGCTTTTCTTTCTTTTTAATTCAGCGGGCACCAGACTTTAGTGAACGTCTGTTAGATTTCAAGCTGCAGTCAAACTGGGTGAACGAACCACACTGACAAAGAGGTCACCGCAGCAGCTGTTAGCACAACCGACTTTATATAGAACATTTGTGGTAAAAGACGGTGTAACTATTTTAGAAGATGTGTCTAATATATTTTCTGATTCTGAAATAAAACGTTTAAAAAACAAAGATTGGTTTGAGATGACAGTTTAGTGATGTGTTATTGTTAAATGAAATATCTTTGCTCAGCTCTACCATGTGTGTGTGTGTGTGTGTTTATATTGTCAACACAATACATGTGATTAAGATGAACAGATAAATAAGAACATTCTCTCAGCCAGGTCCTTCATTTTGCTTTCTTTTTTTATCTTTTCCCCTTTTTTCTGGCGTCTATCGTCCGATTATTTTTACTATTAACTTAATTAGTCGCAAAGGGTGGATTCTCAAATAGTTTGGATGTGTTTCTCTGCTTTTGTTTGGCTTTTACTAAATTATTATTCACGTAATTCTGGCTGAATCTTTACCAAACCTAATATAATATCAGCTGTTTAATCTGAATATACTCTATGAATGTGAGCTGTGTTTTTCAGGCTCATTTCAGTGCCACAAGAGAAAAAAAAAAAAAAAAGTGAGCTTTAGCTACTCTGAACATGCGTCAGGGTGAAAAAGAAAGAAAGAATCTCCCTTCCTGTTTTGGTACAAACAGATTTACCAGCAGCGAGAAGATAACAGCGTAGAAGGAGAAAGAGACAAACCAGACAGGAGAGACAGAGTACGACCAGATTTGGAATAAAACTCAACTGTAAAACAGACGACTAACTGATACACCTGAAGAAACAGGATCACTGTCATACCGATGGCTTCGCAAGGCAGATTTCACTTTCTAAACCTTTGGGATGAGACAGACGATGAAGGTGAAGCAAGAGAGGGAGAGGAGAGAGAAGGGTCTGTGGGGGAGCAACAGTCAGTTTGTGTAGGACCCTCACAGTTGGCAGATGGACTCTCTGCACTAGGTAAGTGTGTGTCTGCCGATCAAGACCACGGACTTTTGTGTTTCCTTTTCCATCCTTCTTCTTCTTCTTCCCCTTTGTCGTCTCCCGCCTCCTGTCTGAAAGCTTCAGTAATGTGCACACAAACACGACCAAGTGGAGTACGAAGAATCGGTTTTGTATTCGTGCCAGAACTTCCAGCAGGAGGCAGTAAATGCAGTGCTGACGTGTTGCCGTGGTTTTGTTGAAGTGGCCCCAACCGGTTGGTTGTTTTTTTTTTTTTTTTTTTTAATTTTTATACAAACCCTCTCTTGTGTATCGCTGCTGTCCTGCAGGGTGTGCAGACCTGAACAGCCTGGACTCGCTGAGCCCTCAGGAGAAGAAGAGACAGGGTTACATCCACGAGCTGTTGCAGACCGAGGAGAGATATGTGGAAGACTTGCAGATAGTGCTGGAGGTAATCCTGCTGAAGCTCCATTATGTTCAATTTACATGTGCAGTAAATCATCCAACAACTATTACATGCTGTGACAAAACAGAATTGAATTAAGGAGCGATGTGTTGCATATTCTCCTGATCACATACCTCTTAGTGTTTGTAAATCTGTACTTTTATTCCTTTGTGTAGGTTTTCCACAAGCCCATGTCCGAGTCAGGCCGGCTGAACGAAACAGAGATGGGCATGATCTTTGTCAACTGGAAAGAACTGCTGACCTGCAACACCAAACTCGTCAAGTAAATGTCACACAGACAGAGCGAACGGATCTAGAAATAACAGTGATGGAGCGATAACAAGTGCAGTTGTTTTAGTGTTGATGTGGACTCTGTCTGTGCAACAATCCAGAGCTGTTTGTGTTTATTCACACATGTGCAGGGCACTCCGTGTTCGTAAGAAGATGGGCGGGGAGAACATGCCGGTGCAGATGATCGGAGACATCCTGGCCGCCGAGCTGTCCCACATGCAGCCATATATCCGCTTCTGCTCCTGCCAGATCAACGGCGCCACGCTGCTTCAAACTCGTACCGACAGCGAGCCCGATTTCAAGGACTTCCTCAAGGTAGGAGACAGAGGAAAGAAAGGTGTAGTGGGAGAAATAAACACCAGAGTGACAGGGTGGAAGATTGGAGGAGGTGGACAAATGGTCCATCTCACGTCTGACATCCACATTTACTGCACTTTCAACACTTCAATAAGAGATGCCTGTTTTCCATTTATAGCGTGACAACTTTTTGGTTTCTGCTGCTGTTTATTGGAGTTTAAACTGACTTTATATGCTTTTCATGCAACTTCAACATCTTACATTTGACCTCTTGAGACCTGCATGTGTTTTCTCATAACATACATGTGGGTAGAAGCAAGAATGTTTATTGACATTGTCGTCTATTTCTTTTAGAAAATCGCCACAGACTACCGGTGTAAAGGCATGCCGCTGTCCAGCTTCCTGCTGAAGCCCATGCAGAGGATCACACGCTACCCACTGCACATCAAAAATGTAGGCCATCGTGTTCACCAGCTCTTCTGCTGTGGTTCAAATACTGACCTTCTAGTGTGTGATTAGCAATAAATAACGGTCTAGTCTCTCGTTGGTGGGTGTAGTTAATGTGTTTCTGTGTTTACTTTTGTGTGTTTGTAGATCCTGGAGTGTACTGCAGAGGGCCACGCTGACCGAGGTCCTCTGAAGGAAGCTCTGGAGAGAGCAGAGGAACTTTGTCAACAGGTTCGTCATATTATTATTTCTCTCGTAGTTTAATTAGTGTGTCAAAGGAATCTTTTTATTCAGGTTCTGTGCTCAACGATTATCCTCTGTAGGTAAACGAGGGCGTGAGAGAGAAGGAGAACTCTGACAGATTGGAATGGATTCAGAACCACGTACAGTGTGACGGCGCTGCAGAGGTATTAAACTCACTGTTCATCTGCTGTTAGACTGGTTTTCATCATAGCTAATTGCAAAAAGCACGTGAAGGATTTACTCTGAACTTTCTCTCTTCCTCTCACAGCATTTAGTTTTTAACTCACTTACCAACTGTTTGGGCCCCAGGAAGCTGCTCCACAGTGGGAAGGTGAGTAACACGGCAGAGTTTGTCAAACTGTGACCCTGAATACAGTCAGAGTGTGTGAGCATCTCCAGTGAGTCTTCCTGTTCTAAAGAAAAGTATTTTTCATCCGCCTGTATAAATGTTTTAAAATATAAGAAAGTTAAAGAGACCAGGCAGAGGGGGACATGCAGGGAGATGAAATGCAGAACTTTACTGGGTCACATCCCAGGATGTTGACTTGGTACAAGCCTCAGACCACAGAGTGAAACTTTCAGACACCAGTGAGCTGCTTCATGTGAGCAGAAACCCAACACACGGATCTGAGGCAGCGATGATACACCACCATGAAAAGTGTTTGCGGTTTTGTCTTTTGGTTCTAAACAGTTGACTGGATTTAAAAGTNGTTTGACTCAAGCCAAAAAATGCTTGAAACAAGTCATTAAGTTTCTGTCTTTACAAAAAGAAATACTTTAAAAAGGAAGTAAACAAGACATGCTCAACTACATTTTTGCTCAGTACACTTGTACGGTAGAAGCTTGGATGTCTGCTCACTATAACCATTTTGCAGTGGGCCTTTGATTGTGACAAAGAACAGCAGAAGCATACAGTTAGTCCTGCACATATAAAAGCCATAAGCGGATCTGCTAATACTACTAACAGAGACATAATTGAGCATATGTAGTCTTGAAGTGAGCGACTCTTCACGATATAGAGAATAAGCTTCACTCCCAGGGGTGACGATGAGAAATGATTGCTGCACTTTCTATTCAACGAATGCTGTTTTTGCTGCTCTGACTGATTTCATTTATGCACAAAGTGAACAGGCTCACGGTGTTCACTACAGGTCACACACTAGAAAAAAAATAGCGTTGGGGATGCATTTCTTGCCGTTCAGCAAGTGAAAAATATATACTGTGGCCATGGATTCAGTTGAATGATGCTACATTACAGTCTGATGATCCCTGATGCGAGGAAAGCAAATTAAAGCACATGTTACGCTTTTCTTTCTTTTTAATTCAGCGGGCACCAGACTTTAGTGAACGTCTGTTAGATTTCAAGCTGCAGTCAAACTGGGTGAACGAACCACACTGACAAAGAGGTCACCGCAGCAGCTGTTAGCACAACCGACTTTATATAGAACATTTGTGGTAAAAGACGGTGTAACTATTTTAGAAGATGTGTCTAATATATTTTCTGATTCTGAAATAAAACGTTTAAAAAACAAAGATTGGTTTGAGATGACAGTTTAGTGATGTGTTATTGTTAAATGAAATATCTTTGCTCAGCTCTACCATGTGTGTGTGTGTGTGTGTTTATATTGTCAACACAATACATGTGATTAAGATGAACAGATAAATAAGAACATTCTCTCAGCCAGGTCCTTCATTTTGCTTTCTTTTTTTATCTTTTCCCCTTTTTTCTGGCGTCTATCGTCCGATTATTTTTACTATTAACTAAATTAGTCGCAAAGGGTGGATTCTCAAATAGTTTGGATGTGTTTCTCTGCTTTTGTTTGGCTTTCACAAAATTATTATTCACGTAATTCTGGCTGAATCTTTACCAAACCTAATATAATATCAGCTGTCTAATCTGAATATCCTCTATGAATGTGAGCTGTGTTTTTCAGGCTCATTTCAGTGCCACAAGAGAAAAAAAAAAAAAAAAGTGAGCTTTAGCTACTCTGAACATGCGTCAGGGTGAAAAAGAAAGAAAGAATCTCCCTTCCTGTTTTGGTACAAACAGATTTACCAGCAGCGAGAAGATAACAGCGTAGAAGGAGAAAGAGACAAACCAGACAGGAGAGACAGAGTACGACCAGATTTGGAATAAAACTCAACTGTAAAACAGACGACTAACTGATACACCTGAAGAAACAGGATCACTGTCATACCGATGGCTTCGCAAGGCAGATTTCACTTTCTAAACCTTTGGGATGAGACAGACGATGAAGGTGAAGCAAGAGAGGGAGAGGAGAGAGAAGGGTCTGTGGGGGAGCAACAGTCAGTTTGTGTAGGACCCTCACAGTTGGCAGATGGACTCTCTGCACTAGGTAAGTGTGTGTCTGCCGATCAAGACTACGGACTTTTGTGTTTCCTTTTCCATCCTTCTTCTTCTTCTTCCCCTTTGTCGTCTCCCGCCTCCTGTCTGAAAGCTTCAGTAATGTGCACACAAACACGACCAAGTGGAGTACGAAGAATCGGTTTTGTATTCGTGCCAGAACTTCCAGCAGGAGGCAGTAAATGCAGTGCTGACGTGTTGCCGTGGTTTTGTTGAAGTGGCCCCAACCGGTTGGTTGTTTTTTTTTTTTTTTTTTTTAATTTTTATACAAACCCTCTCTTGTGTATCGCTGCTGTCCTGCAGGGTGTGCAGACCTGAACAGCCTGGACTCGCTGAGCCCTCAGGAGAAGAAGAGACAGGGTTACATCCACGAGCTGTTGCAGACCGAGGAGAGATATGTGGAAGACTTGCAGATAGTGCTGGAGGTAATCCTGCTGAAGCTCCATTATGTTCAATTTACATGTGCAGTAAATCATCCAACAACTATTACATGCTGTGACAAAACAGAATTGAATTAAGGAGCGATGTGTTGCATATTCTCCTGATCACATACCTCTTAGTGTTTGTAAATCTGTACTTTTATTCCTTTGTGTAGGTTTTCCACAAGCCCATGTCCGAGTCAGGCCGGCTGAACGACACAGAGATGGGCATGATCTTTGTCAACTGGAAAGAACTGCTGACCTGCAACACCAAACTTGTCAAGTAAATGTCACACAGACGGAGCAAACGGATCTAGAAATAACAGTGATAGAGTGATAACAAGTGCAGTTGTTTTAGTGTTGCTGTGTGCAACAATACAGAGCTGTTTGTGTTTATTCACACGTGTGCAGGGCGCTCCGTGTTCGTAAGAAGATGGGCGGGGAGAACATGCCGGTGCAGATGATCGGAGACATCCTGGCCGCCGAGCTGTCCCACATGCAGCCATATATCCGCTTCTGCTCCTGCCAGATCAACGGCGCCACGCTGCTTCAAACTCGTACCGACAGCGAGCCCGATTTCAAGGACTTCCTCAAGGTAGGAGACAGAGGAAAGAAAGGTGTAGTGGGAGAAATAAACACCAGAGTGACAGGGTGGAAGATTGGAGGAGGTGGACAAATGGTCCATCTCACGTCTGACATCCACATTTACTGCACTGTCAACACTTCAATAAGAGATGCCTGTTTTCCATTTATAGCGTGACAACTTTTTGGTTTCTGCTGCTGTTTATTGGAGTTTAAACTGACTTTATATGCTTTTCATACAACTTCAACATCTTACATTTGACCTCTTGAGACCTGCATGTGTTTTCTCATAACATACATGTGGGTAGAAGCAAGAATGTTTATTGACATTGTCGTCTATTTCTTTTAGAAAATCGCCACAGACTACCGGTGTAAAGGCATGCCGCTGTCCAGCTTCCTGCTGAAGCCCATGCAGAGGATCACACGCTACCCACTGCACATCAAAAATGTAGGCCATCGTGTTCACCAGCTCTTCTGCTGTGGTTCAAATACTGACCTTCTAGTGTGTGATTAGCAATAAATAACGGTCTAGTCTCTCGTTGGTGGGTGTAGTTAATGTGTTTCTGTATTTACTTTTGTGTGTTTGTAGATCCTGGAGTGTACTGCAGAGGGCCACGCTGACCGAGGTCCTCTGAAGGAAGCTCTGGAGAGAGCAGAGGAACTTTGTCAACAGGTTCGTCATATTATTATTTCTCTCGTAGTTTAATTAGTGTGTCAAAGGAATCTTTTTATTCAGGTTCTGTGCTCAACGATTATCCTCTGTAGGTAAACGAGGGCGTGAGAGAGAAGGAGAACTCTGACAGACTGGAATGGATTCAGAACCACGTCCAGTGTGACGGCGCTGCAGAGGTATTAAACTCACTGTTCATCTGCTGTTAGACTGGTTTTCATCATAGCTAATTGCAAAGAGCACGTGAAGGATTTACTCTGAACTTTCTCTCTTCCTCTCACAGCATTTAGTTTTTAACTCACTTACCAACTGTTTGGGCCCCAGGAAGCTGCTCCACAGTGGGAAGGTGAGTAACACGGCAGAGTTTGTCAAACTGTGACCCTGAATACAGTCAGAGTCTGTGAGCATCTCTAGTGAGTCTTCCTGTTCTAAAGAAAAGTATTTTTCATCCGCCTGTATAAATGTTTTAAAATATAAGAAAGTTAAAGAGACCAGGCAGAGGGGGACATGCAGGGAGATGAAATGCAGAACTTTACTGGGTCACATCCCAGGATGTTGACTTGGTACAAGCCTCAGACCACAGAGTGAAACTTTCAGACACCAGTGAGCTGCTTCATGTGAGCAGAAACCCAACACACGGATCTGAGGCAGCGATGATACACCACCATGAAAAGTGTTTGCGGTTTTGTCTTTTGGTTCTAAACAGTTGACTGGATTTAAAAGTAAAGCTGCTAACTGTGCTCATGATTGTTTAATCGCATTTTATCATTTTTGTTGACCACAATTATATACGACTATCTCACATAGTTTCTTTCTTTTTTTCAGATGTTCAAAGCGAAGAGCAACAAGGAACTTTGGGCTTTCCTCTTTAATGACTTTCTACTTTTGACTCACGCGGCGAAACAGTTCACTTCGTCTGGGCCTGATAAACTGTTCAGCAACAGGAACAATGTGCAGCTCAAGATGTACAAACCGGTAAGACGTGCACAAAGTAGACATGTTCTCCTCTGAGGCAGCATGAGGCTTTTGTAGTTTCTCATTTATTCTGTTTTTTTACCCGTAGCCTGTGCTGCTAAATGAAGTTCTGGTGAAGCTGCCAGATCCTTCCAGTGATGACCCCATCTTCCACATCTCACACATCGATAGAGTCTACATACTCAGGACCGACAACATCAATGAACGGTAGCAGCGCACACACACACACACACACACACACAGTGGTGCGTTTGAGACCTTTACAAGTGCTTTTTGTGTTTTCAGGACGGCGTGGGTTCAGAAGATCAAGGCAGCTTCTGAAGAGTTTATTGAGACTGAAAAGAAAAAAAGGGAAAAAGCTTATCAAGGTTTGTCTCTACAAACATACAACATCCATATTTGTTCCACCCAGTGTGAAGATCTCAGTTAACCATAAATCCATCTGCGTGTGTTTGCAGCGCGATCTGTCAAGACCAGTGGAATCGGCCGACTCCTTGTTACTATTTTAGAAGCCACCGAACTCAAGGCGGGAAAACCCAACGGTGAGCATGAATACACGCGCGGTACAGGATGTACTTCCAGTTCAGTGGACTAACAGAAAAACACACTGAGCTTTAACTGTTGTGTTGGAATCCAGCTTTTAATTCCTGCTGCATGGATGCCAAATGAAACCAGGATATACAAACACTGAACTGTGTCTGTCGTCTCTTTTTTTCCTTTGTTCAAGTCAGAGGCCTCTCTTTGGGCTTTTAATCTGAGAACCAGTTCAGGTCTAGTTTACAAGCTCAGCGCATGTTGAACCAAAAATAAGTTTATATACATAAAATATTGGTTCCCAGCAAGAGTCACATGCCAGTCAGACCTGATTAGGAATCACGACAGTGTTGCCGTCGTGAGCGAGCGTGTATGAAACCTGTGGAAAGAAACAAGAAGAATGAGGAAGACGTGTTTCTGCCAAATTGGACACCTGCTAAGTTTTAGCAGAAGCTGAAACATTCTACTCAGGAAAACTAATTTTAGGCAGAACATGCTGAAGAGTTGGCAAAAAACCACCACCTACCAGACTTGAGTGCTGCTGTCAAAATTGATCTGTTCGCTACAGGGTGTTTTGTGAGTCCAGGAAATAGGAAACAGACTGGTTCTCTGTCATAAAGCCCTCCCTGTGTCCTCTATGTTCCATTTTGTCTGCTTTGTTTTATTCTTACTAACTTTTTTTTCTTGACAATCTTTTTTCCCCTCTGTCCTTGTTTTTGATGGTCTTGATCTCTTCTTACATTTCGTGTCCCCTTCCCTCCTCCAGGTAAAAGCAACCCTTATTGTGAAGTGACCATGGGAGCTCAGATCTTCACATCCCGAACGCTCAACGACACTCTGAACCCCAAGTGGAACTTCAACTGTCAGTTTCACATCAAAGACCTCTACCAGGACGTCCTCTGCATCACCATCTTTGAAAGAGACCAGTTTTCACCTGATGGTCAGACACATGCTAGTTACCTTATCTTATTTTAACTGTCCGTACTCTCTCAGTTACTGATGTCTCTTTAAATCTGCAAAATTCATCCTCTGTACTAAACCTAACTTCTGATTTCTAAACTGCAAGCAGCTGGAGTTACATTTAACATGTTGTGGTTTATTAAGCACAATGTTCTGATGACAAATGGCTCAGCTTTATTTTTACATCCTATTCCTCCTAACAGATGTGCCCTTTTTGTTTTTACATTACCAGACTTCCTGGGTCGGACCGAGGTTCCCGTGGCAACCATAAAGAAAGAGTTGGAGAACAAGGGACCAGTAACACGTCGTCTTCTGCTGCATGAAGTTCCAACGGGAGAAGTGTGGGTCCGTCTCGACCTGCAGCTCTTCGGCAACAAATAGGATTTAAGACAAACTGAAATAAGAAACTGCTTCGTCTACAGAAACATCCAAATAATAACAATTAACCAAACAGGAAAAGCTGCTTGTTTTCACATTAACTAACTAGGATGGCTCCTCCTACATGCATAAAATGGACTCCAAGGAGAGACCCGTACAAAAAGAAACACCCCTGAACTGTGTTTCACACATCAGGCCTTAATACATTTAATATTAACCAGCACTAATAATACCTCTTCTGATGTCATCTGAATCCTCCAGTAGGGATTATAGGACCTGGGTGACATCATCTGAAGCTACCAATAGGAGTTCGAGCTCTTTAATTTTTAATTTTTTCACCGTGACATCAGATGAAAAAGGGAAGCAGTGCAGCAGTTTGCACCTGCACAATATTTACACTCTGATGGAGTGAACAGAAAAGAGCACCGCCTGCCTTCTTAAACAGTGGAGACGCTGTGTCTGCGGTAATATTAGAACTGCACAAAGGCTGCTTAGGCGCAAATAACTATCGTACTATTGAAGCAATAAGACTACACATGCTCTTTTCTAGGCTCCCACAGCTGTGTCTCCGTTACAACAGTGAGTTTTTAAGTATTCACACTTTGCCAAGTCTGCTCAGCCAAGGCCATTTAACGAGTTGAAGTGTTTTATCTGTCAGGATATTTATATGTTAAATACATTTTCTTTTCTGAGGAGCTCACGACTGATGGGATTTTAGAGACTCTGCGGACCCGCTTTTTGTCCGTCTCCGATCTTAAACTGTCGTAACTCAGCGTCGTCTCCTCACTGAGACGTTTAAGGGCATCACAAACAGATGAGGGACGGCGACATGAAATGCATCAGGCAACCTGGAGGAGAAGTCTGTCGTTTGGGTCTGAAGTCAGTTTACTACTGTAGGCTTAAGATCTCAGGATGTTCTGGGTCGAGTCTGTGTCACTGTAACTATACTGAGCATTGATTTTCTTGAGCTTTATTGGTGTGTGTGTGTGTGAGAGAGAGAGAGAGAGAGAGAGAGAGTGTGTGAGTGCATAACTTTGGAGTGTAGAAGAGTTAAAGAAACATACAGATATCCTCAGGCTTTGGATGCTGCAACTTTGGGAGTTAACTTACAACTTCTTGCCTTAATGCAAGTCTGAAGTCTTTTAAAATATGTCAGCTATCTAAAATCATTAGATTTCATTGGGATGAAGTCTTCTTTGCTTTTTCTTTAGCGTGCAAAATCAGCCAAGGCCAAGTAATTTCAGCTGAGAGTGTAAATTAGTTAAGGTCAATTTAGAAAAAGCCGTATTGATGAATGTTTCTTTCTGCACTCCGTCTCTCTTCAGCTGCTCCCGTCTCACCTTTTCAGGGGACTTTGAGGACGTCAGCTTTTTGAGGCATCACAGATCGACAGTTTGTCTAAAAAAAAAAATAAACAGTGTTTTCTGCATTTTTGTTCTTTTGCCCCGACAGACATAGTTTAAGCGCCGTCCCCACCTCACTGACACCAACGTTGTCCGTCTCTGCTGCCTCAAAAAGTCGCTGTGTAGGACAGAAGGTTTAAAACGCTGTATATTTGTGTTCTAGTTTGACTTTCTGGTGTCTCCTGCCTTGTTTTTACCCTTTTGTCCTTTGTTTCTTTTCTAACTCTGAGCGCCCGCCGGTGCTCTGGATATATACTGAACGGAAAAAAAGAAAAGGTTGTATTTATTTCCTAATTTATGCGCGTGACTATCCAAAGGTTTGGAGCACCTTCGCTGTGTCGTCCCGGATAATCAGTTGGTGTTCACTGGGTCTGTTTTTGAACATGTAGCTGGAAAGCTGGTTCGACGTCTGAGATGATTCCTGTGAGGGCGATTTGAGTTTTACTGTAAGTAGACTAGATCACTAGTCGTTTTCTTAGGCCTGCTGTGTCGTGCTCTTGTGTTCTATTGATTTGTCTTATTCAATCGGCAACAGTTTGTTTTTAACTCTTATATTAACTCTCCTGTTTTTTTTTTTTGTTTTTTTCGAATTTGTGGAAAATGTGCAAAGAGACTGGACTACCTTCCTTGTCTGTGTAGGGATGTAAAAGCTTGTCTTCTGTTTTTACTTTTTATCCTCCGCAGCCTTCTGCATGGACAGCTGCTGTGCTAACTGAGTTTATGGCCTCTCTAACCCAGACTGTTCACAGCTGAGCAGCCTGGAGTCTGTAACCTGCTGTTTCTACTCACTTTGGCCTCTATGTGGCACTCTCTGAATCAGGGTTTCTTAAGGCAAATTAAAGATATTAAAAGTGAACAAGCTGTCACATTATTGACCGGGATGAAGAAACGGGGCGTTTAACCGTGTGAACTTGGAGTCCTCGACCTTGTGCAGCAGTGCATGAGGGGTGAAGGGGTTGCCGCTGCTCAGAACACACTGCTTCAGCCTCTGTGCACAATTACAGCACGATCTCACCGATGTCAGCTCCAGCAAAAGACAGATTTGTGCTTTTATTTTGAAATACGGGTATTTGTGTGGAATAGATCCAGTTTTTAGAATGCAGTCGTTTTTAAAAGTTTCCAATAATGAGGAGAAATTCAGTGCAGCGAGGACACGGGTAAGCAGGTGTTTGATTTTTAGTGAAAATACAGTAAGTCCAGTGAAATATCTCATAAAACCAGGTCTCAACTTGAGGCAAACTCCAAAATATCTCAGGTTGAAACAAGCAAAATATATTTTTGAGGATTTTATCTGAGATTTTCGCTGGTTTCCGTGGGTGTCCGGTGTCAGTGGAGTTCAGCGTGGAGTTGTCAGTGCGCACCAATAGACTTCATTAAGTCCTTCTTTACCCTCCACTGGCTCTGAGGCCACAGGAGCAAAAGTCATTATGTAACCACACTAAGTGCGTAACTGAGTCCACAAAGTCAGCTGAACTCAACCTTCTGCAGCTGAGTGCTACACAATGAGCAGTAATGGGTTCTAATGCAGTGAAGACGAGGTGATACGAGTGGTGGGAACTGATTGTTATATATTTTACACTTGATTTAAAACAAATTTGTCGTGTAGAAAAGTACCTAAAGACCACCTCGGGTTAAAAAAAATCTACTTTTCTTTCTTGTTAAAATGTCCGTATGATGTTTCCTCGAGGCGAGAAGACACATCATGACCAAAATAAGCTGCCAACTCCAAGATTCACACTTCTGGGGTTTCATATGTAGCAAATCTAATCAACCAATCCTGTCAGCGTAGAGGGTGCAGCTTTCTGTGTCATCATTCTTCTTCAGAATCAGTTTCCAGGACACACATGTAAGGCTGAATTGTTCTTATTTTGCAATCTGAGATGAGTTTTTAGGGATAAATCAAAACCAGAGTGGGACTTTCAAGCTTTTGTGCAGCTTGACTTTTTTAAAATGTGACCATCACAAAAAAATGTGTTTACTGTTTGAGAAATAAAATGTGATTCAGCTAAAAACAAACAGCAGAAAACAAACCTGACAAACAAGCTGATTATAACGGTTTCATGTGATGAGCAGCACCGTTCAAAGGTTGGCATTAATGAGCCCATATTGTTCTTTTCTGTGTTTCTTTGTTTCCCTTCAGGGTGTCATATTCCTGTGTTTTTGTACCAGAAAGGCCTCGTTTGAAGTCCAGACTTTTTCTCTGTCACTTATCTACGTCTCTATGTAACATAATTCACTAACGCCTGCCTTGCTCCTAGTTTGACACACTTTCAAACAAAATATGAGCAACTCCCCTGATTGTTTACTACCTAAGGCCACATCCCTATACTTCTGCTGTTACAGCACCAACATCGCCTCGCTCTCATTGGGCCAGCTGACCAGTCGTAGCAAACTGGGCTTTTGGGTATCCATCCATCCATCCATTATCTATGCACCCCTTAATCCTCACTAGGGTCACGGGGGGGCTGGAGTCTATCCCAGCCGACTTAGGGTGAAGGCAGGGGACACCCTGGACAGGTCAGGCTTTTCAGTATGAATGTCTTAAAGCAATGGGAACTAAAATGGAGCATTTCAGGCACAAGTGCTGCAGTGATGTACGTAATGAAAAAAATAATGTGGTTTTTGAACACTGAAGCATGTAAATGTTATGTTTAGGTTAAAGGGATTTAATTTAAAATCCAAACAATCCAAAGCTTTTAACGTGCAAAGGCTCCCATAACTGGANTGTGGCGTCTACAGACACTGACCTCGTCACTTCTGACCACAGACTGTTTATAAAAGGTCATGAAGCAACAATGATGATGTTTGTTGACAAGTGTTTTGAAGCCTGGAGTTGAGAACCTGGAGAACCTTGGAACACTTTGCACACAAATACAATAGCGACCTGTCAATCACAGGGGCAGCGGTCCCCAACCACCGGGCGGCGGACCAGTACAGGGCCATGGCTCATTTGGTGCCAGACCGCACAGAAAGAATGAAAATGTTTTATTGGTTTGTTTGATTTCCAGCAGTCTGCAGTGTGTTTTATTTTGAAAAGTTACAAACTCGTCTTCCCGTCACTTCCACCTGTACTTGCTTCTCGCACTTGACTTTCATGCCTGACCATTAAACAAAGCCGTCAAGCCAACCGCTGCCAAAATACATAAATAAAACTAATCGATGCTGAGACAGAAGAAAAAGTAAATATATATTTAACAACAAAACTTAATTTTATTTGTTTATGACATTTTTTTAACAGGAAAAAAACAATTAGCATTTGTTATACGCGCAGTGACCGGCCCGTAGAAAACTGTCTTGCTTTAAAGCGGTCCGTGGTGCAAAAACAGGTTGGGGACGGCTGCCCTAAAGCATGCCCTGCATGATCGTCTATTTTACTGAAAATCAGATCATAATTTACAAAATTAACTTCATGCTGTATTGAAGGAGACTGAAAACTTGCAATTCAGACCATAAACTCGTTAGGACATTGTTTGCTGAGGAAACAAACCAAGAAAGAAGTAAGATTGTTTTCTCATAGACTTCCATACAGTGAGAAACATCCAGAGGAGTCGCCCCCTGCTGGTCATTAGAGAGAACACAGGTTTAAGCCACTTCTGCATTTACTTTTGAGACCTGGAGGCTTTGTCGATCTTTCCTATGCAGTCGACATACCCCCTCCTTCAAAACTGGAAGCTAGATTCAGAAGTTTCAGGTGGATGCTGGACTGGGGGGGAGGAGGTTTGAAATGCTGTCAGCAACAGCAGCAGTAGAGCTTTCAGGTTAGCAGTGTGCGCAGGCATGCGGCAAAAGAATGAGCAAAGTGCTGGCAGCTTAAGTACACATCCACGATTATAAAGGTGTGTTGCAGTGAGAGGAGTCTGTTGTGGAGAAGTGAACTCAAGGTGGACTGTTCAGACTCAGATGTTAGATGTAATACCTCCGTTCTGATCTGGTGCTGTTGGAAAAAGGCAAAACAAATGAGTTTGTGATGCTGCTCTCTTTATATTCAGAGCTAGCAGGGCTCATTGCACTAAAGAGTAAAGTTTTCTCACCTCGTTTTTAGGGCACCTTTACCCGTTTCTCTTCCATACCTGTTGAGAGCTGTTGCCCTGGATAACTCTGTTTGCCCCCAACCTGCAGCAGCAGCAGCAGCAGCAGCAGAAGGGGTTTTCAGGTTTTTCCTGTTGCATAACATCAGCACAAAAATAACTCGCAAAGATGACAGGTTGCCGGATAAAATTTTCATGAACGTTATCTGATCTGAAGTTATTTTTAGCCAAATGACAATTTAGGTGTAAACCCTCGATCTCGTAACATTTAGTCTCTGTACATACATACACTGGGTAGCTTCACAAACAGCGGTCATGTAATCTGTGCGTGCAGTGAGAAGGTGAATTCCCAAACACAGCTGAGTGAATTACATATTTACATAATAGAACTGTGTGTGTGTCTCTTTTTCTGATTCATTACCATCCATCATCTTCACCAAGAAGTGCGCTGAATATGTTTTTGGTTCACTCTTGTTTACTTTTTTCTTATGTGTTGTCTGTAAAAACATAAAAAATGCCAAAAATGTATTTACACGTGAGATGTTCTTCTATTTTTTTTCCAGCAAAAGGTATTCTGTTGGCTTTCCTGCCACCCAGTCCCTCCCTCTCTCCTTCTTTCTCTCTCTCCTCCCTCTGCTGAATGCACGAAACACCGAGAAAAAGGCACGAGAGCAGAAGCAGCCAGTGTGCATTCACAACCGTGCACGCCTGTGTGTGCGCTGGTCGGCCTGAGCGAGAGTCAGAGAGGAGGGAGATTCGGTCGACCTGTCGGGGTCTCTCATGTCACAGTTTCTGCCCTCAGGAGCTGACCTCTGCCTCTCTGTCTGGAAGATAACCTGGAAAAGCTGAAATGGAATATCGGGAAACTGCTCTGTGGAAAACAGCCGGGGCGACGTTCCTCCTCCTGCTGCTGCTGCTGCATCAGAGGCAGAAGAAGTGAGGGCAAGAGGGGAGAATGACTGACGTTTTTAATTTGTATCTACATAAGAAAGTGAAGAGGAGACGGAGTCTTGTGGGCCTGTCTGACAACTGTGGGAGGACGGAGGAGATTTATACGTATAATTGTACTCTTGGTGTGCTTTTGGCTTTCTTTGAGGGAAAGGCAAAGAGCAGAGAGGAGATAATAGGAGAGGAGAGGAAAGGGGAGGAGAGAGTAGAGCGCAGAGAGTAGAGGAGTCCAGAGGAGGAGGAGGAGGAAGAGGAGAGGAGAGGAGTAGACGCACCAGATGGGATCTTGGCATTAATAAAAATGTAAGTATGAACATTTAGTTTGCACACGATGCTGCTGCTCCTCATGTCTTTGGTGACCATCCTGATGATGATGATGATGGAAGTATTTCAACCTGCTGGATTACTTTGTTTTTCCTCCACATAATTTCCTCTTTCTCCCTCTCTCAACTACATTTAATTTCTCTTGCTCTAATTCCCCCTCCCCGTGTCTTAATTCTATTTCTGTGCTGCTGGCTCCCCTCTCTCTCTCTCTCTCTCTGCAGGTCACGTTAGATAGTAACGGTGCAGCGGGAGAGCGAAAGGCCACCGTCACATTAGATTAACATTAGCAGACACACACAGAGGGAAAATATACGCTTAATGTGTGAGGAGCGCGATGTGGAGGATGTGTGTGAGGAGAGTCTTTGTGTCTCCCCCCTGTGTGTGTGTGTGTGTGTGTGTGTTTGTGTGTGTGTGTTGGAGTACAGTGTGAGCTGAGCTGAAACAGTCGTAGCAACTGTATGGTTTTCTTTAACCGCGTGGAGAAAAACAAAGAGCTATTGTGTCACATAAGTACTTGGCCAGACGCAGAAAGGAGAAGTGAGAGGAAGATCAGTGTCTGTGACAAAACAAAAGTGGGATGGGAAAGTATTTTGCACTGACTGTTGGCATGTTGGATCCAGACTGAACATTAGATTGGGTCACATTTTCTCTTGCTTGCATGTGTACTTAGTCTTCTTCTCTTTAACATTTTTTTTTCTCCACATGGTGCTTCACATAAGTTAAAGTTTAAAGGAATCATTTGACATATTCTGAAACATTCACACCAGCAAGGGTTCGATAAGAAGCTTGATGCCACTGTTTGGTGAATCAGAACCTCCAGTCAGCAGCTCCGTATGAATATCAGCAGTGCCTGACTCTTTCTAATTTCCGTCTAATCCAGAAATAAAGAAAAAGGGTGGAACTGAGAGCTGAGTGGGCCACGCAGACCTACCTGTCACTCAGAGTGACCTCTCCTTTGACCCTATTCGGGGCTTTTGAGGTCTTTTGGACCCCAGGCCATTTGGTTTAGGTGACAGGTATTGGTTTTTGGGGGTTTTTTTGAAGATTTTTTATTTATTTTTTAAATATAAAAAGAGGGACATTTGTCATGCATTTGGAACCAAAAATACGCCAACTTATCAGAACATTTATTTAACACAGTATAAACGTCTAAAATCAATACCAGCTAATATTTTTCACATATTCTTTCTTAGGGTCCAATGAACCCTGAAAGGCGTTCTACTTATGGCAACATGAAAGTCCTGAATAGGATTAATTAGCAACAGCTTCAAGCTTTGATACCATTGAAATAATTAAGTTATATATATATATATATATATATAACACCCTCCATAAAGTTGTCAGAATGGGGAAATTAGTTACAGAGACCAAAACTGTTTTTTGCAACAGGCTACAAACACGTTTATTTCTGCTGTAAAGGTGAACATTTTATCATAAGGGTCTGTGGGGATTGACTCACTTTTGGAGCCAGCCTCAAGTGGACGTTCTAGGAACTGCAGTTATTTAGCATTTCAGGGTTTGCTGCTTTACCAGCAACTCTAAAACTGGCCTGATAGTTCAGCAGTTTGTTGTTTTTTTGTTTTAAAAAAAGAAGCCAAATCATCAGGGTTATATGCTGGATTATTATATTATATTTTTAGATTTTGCTCAGTTTTAGGGGAGACCAGCGTAGGCTTCAGGAAATGATTAGTCCCAGTAGCCAGGTACATTACCCAAGTTAAAAACGGAAATAGTTACTTTGAGTCTTTTGGGGCTATGAACAAATGAGAATTCTGTATTAGTGCTGCAGCTATATATAAGGATAGTTCCAAAACTTTCTCTAGATAGATAGATAGATAGATAGATAGATAGATAGATAGATAGATAGATAGATAGATAGATAGATAGATAGATAGAATGTGTGTGTGAGAAAAAGCCTCTCACGTGTTGTGTTGTCGGTATAAACAGCTTTTGTTGTCTAGACTGTTGGACAGAGTGTGAGTGGCTGTAATGAGCTGGCTGCAGGCCAAATGTCTCATTCTAATGTCATTACATAACTGAGACATTCAGCTCCATGATAGTAAATTATGACAGGATTTTTAACTGCATTTACCTGCTCTGACACTCATGACTGTCTGCTTGTTTAGAAAGGTTTCAGAGAGGTTATTTCATTTAGCGAAAGGGATCAAATATGATTTTTTTTTTTTAAGAAGCACAGTGGGTTTGGTGAACTGCTAAATAAAGAAATTAACATCCTGAACTCTAAATACTTTATGATGGCCCAATGACAAGCCTTTTCGCTGTAACATACAGTAACCCAAATTGTCAAATCCAAAGACAGAAAGAGAGAGGAAGCAGGGAAAGTGGGAGAGAGAAGGGCAGCCACGTCCTGCAGCATTTACACACAACATCACAAAATGACCCTGACAGTCAGTGAATTTAGAAGTGCTCGGAGGTTGTCTTGTGTTTGGTTGTGTTATGTTGCGCTGCAGTATAACGCCATTTGTTGTTGTGTTGTTGTGCGTTGCTTTTTGACCGTTCTGTTAGTTTTGTAACATAATTATAAGCCCTGAGGTGTCTTTATATGCCGATGAATGAAGGATGGGACCGAAGCCCATCTTGTCGGGCGCACAGTTCCAGAAAAGTGACGGATGAAATGCACATTTGCTCTCCTGCGTGTGTTTTGGTTTCTCCTAACAGGTCAAAAGTGCTGCGTTCCTGCGTTGTTACAGCCGAAAACATCCTCAGAAATTAGGCCAGTTTGATCTTCTCTGAGAGCTTCATCCATTTTTTATCTGTTCAGGTTTAAACTTCTGTCTTTACAGCTTCACGGCATGAGAGTACAACATCCAGGTTTTGGAGTCTTTATATTTCTACACAGTTTTGGTCTTAAATGTTTAAAGACTTCACTGTTAATTTTTCAAGGCCTGCTTTTTCATTGTGTAATATCCTCACTGTTGTTTTTCCTGAGGACGGAGCAGTCTTCACTCAACCGCTTGGCCTGTTTGCAGTCATTAATAAAGACTCCTAATGGGGCAAAAGCTCAGTGAGAACATATTAACATGTAATTAGATGTGTTTAAATGTGCCAGCTGGGGAAATCAGCACACTTGTGAAATTAAAAATGTTAAATGTCCTTTTAACCCAGCTCCACTCTGCGTCTGCACTACAGAGTTTAATTTTATTTGATTATAAGATCATGAAATGCTGGGAAAGGAAGTCAGTAACGCAAGTGTTGCCGAGGGGGCTTCGCAAATTTTGTGTGTAATTAGAAAGTCATGCTTTAGGCCCAGTCCGGATGTAAAATGTCACTCATGTGCAGATATTCAAGTGTTGCCGTTTTACAGATAAAGAGAATAAAAGTGACTCAACACGCAGCTTTAATTTATCTTTAAAAAAAAAAAAACGCTCAGTAAATGTTTGCAGGATCTGAGTGTTTGTGAGGCGAGTAAGTGATGATGATGAAAACGCACTTATCTCACCCTGTTACACAGCACGGCAGCTACAACGAGCAGTAAGCGCTAATTGGCATTATCTCCTCTAAGAAGGGGGAGCTTTTATCGGGCTGGGCTAGCTGATGTGGACAGGTTTATTTCTGGAGCGGCATAACTCAGCCTGTCAAAGCGCATCACGAGTCATGGCAGTTTTAAAATCGACACGGCGATACGTACCCATCATAAGAAATATGCAAAAGCTTGAGTTTAATGAATCATAAGTTTGAAAAAAAAACTGAGGCCTTGTGACCTTTTCAAACAAAGCTGTAATAAAACAAAGACTGATCTTGAACGCAGTGCTAAATTTGAAGAACATTGGTATTTAAGAAATAAAAAGCAAAGATTAAAGGAATGTCACCGTTTTGTGAAGCAGAAATACATCTTTTTGTAACTTTTCTAATCATCGTGACCCCTCAGATTTACTGTGTGGAGCTGCTAATTTCGATGCTTTTATCAGCATCGCTTTTAAGAAAACAGTCATCAAATCATGATCTGTTTGAAATATGCATAAATAAATGCTCGGATCTTTTCAGTGCAAGCATCGTCTACGTTTGGGTCTTCATGTATCAACCACAGACTGTGCATTATGTTTGTTTTTTGCAGTCTGTTTATCTGGGTGCTGCAGACTAGTGTCATATTGTGTGACATTGTTTGATGCCTGAAACAAACACATTTTCAGGTCCACGGCACATGTGTGCATATTAAACCAGTGTCATATTTGTAGCTCAGTGCAGCTACATGACAAAACTGAGTAATATAGAACAAAAACAGTGGACTGTCTTAAGCTTTATGGGTTCGACTTTTTACGTGGAAACAACAATGATTAATGCAAACTCTGATTTTACAATTCACATGGACGCCCCACAGCACTAAAACTAAAACACTCTCACCTCCAAACACAATCAAACCCCAAACTATAGTGAAACACACAGTACTCATGTTGCTGAGCTGCCCTCATGGTCAAAGTGGTGACACATTACAGTTGAACTTGTTTCTCTTTCCTCTGATTTGATTTTCTGCCCACTCACGATATGTGTGAGCATTAACGCGTGAAACTGAGCGAACGCAACAGAGCAAGAGCCTGAAATGTTTCAGCATCAGCGCTACTTTGTAAAACAAATAAAAAAATCTCCAGCAGACAACATGTCAGTCATCAGCTGGACAACAGCATCACGGCTCAGTGATTGCTTCTGCGTGCAAGAACAGCAACATTTAGATGTGAACCTGTAGGTCGGCTGCAACGCTGATGGCTATTCGTTGCCACCTAGGGGTCAGATAAGTGATGAATTTTTCAGAATCAATAAGAGTACAGTGTATACATCCAATGCATGCTCTGTGTAAAACAAACACGCTGGTTTTCTCCCTCCATCCTGACTCCCGTCGCTTCCAGACAGCCGCTACGTTAACCACCTCTGCAATAAATCATGTGTATGTGTGTGTGTTTGTGTGTGTGTGATACTACAGTGTTTACAAAAGTGCACTTCAGTGAGTGGGAATACTTTTACATGTGTGGCAAAATTAGAATATTTTAGCCGCTCTGTTTGTCTGAATGCCTCACTGTTGTTGTCTTCCCGTCTGTGCTCAGGCATGTTGATAATGGGAGAGAGGTATAGATTTATGGGGACGGTGTCATAGTTTCCAAACTACTCTATGATTAACTCAACAATTTGTTGTTTGTTTGGCAGTTTAATCACATCAACTTGTCTCCGTGAAAGACATGTTTCAGGTATGGATACATGGACGAGACTGGTGATTGGATCTTTTTTTTTTTTTTTATAGCTGCCTTCAACATAAAGTAGTGGTGTGTGTGAGTGAGCACAGCTGGTTTACTTGAGAGCTTTAAAAACTGGTGTGGTGATAAGATTGCAGGCACAAACCTGAGTACACACAAAGATGCCAACTGTAACCACAGGGGGATTTAACACAACTATGATACCTTTAATGCTTTTGTTTTGACTGGGAATGCACAGGTAGAATAACAAAGTGTTGTATTCTGGCATTGCTTTAGATTCTCTCTGTGTAAATTTTACTTTTTAAACTAAAAGATGATATTCCAATAACATTTGTTAACTTCTTCCTAATTCTCCGTCTCATCTATCTCTCTCTCCTTGGTCCTTTCCCTCCATCCTTTCCCACATTTGTCCTCACACCTCCACCATAAAAACCTACAATCCAGGGAAGTCCTGAGGAACTGAAGTGCCCTCTGCAGGAGAAGACAATCACCTCGACTCACTGTGAAATCATGAGCGCTCCGACGACGGGAAGCCCCAACATGGAGGTGAAGGTGGTCTCCCAGGAGATGGCATTGCTTAGCAACATCCTGGCAGCCTACACCTTCATTGCAGGTAGAACCGGTCAGCCATGCGTAGCTGCGTGAGGACTGAAAACAGCATTAAACATTCTGCTAAGTCAAAAGAAAAGCTCTTAACTGTAGTGGCTCTTTGTTTTCTGGATTCCCCAGAGATCCCTGTGGGGCCTGGGAGCCACACTTTGAGGATGAGGTCACAAAAAAGTTGCATATACTGTCTGCAATTCTGGAGAAAAAGCTGCTAGTTAACTTGGAAGAGTCTGAAAATGTGTTTCTGGCAGCAAAAAAAAAAAGAAAATGCACAGGGAACAGGTAGCAGAGAGGTGGGTGTAGGATGTCACAGTCTGAACCAACTGGACACGCAAGAAGAAGAGGAGGAGAAAGAGCAGAAAGGAGAAAAAAAGTTAAATCTTGCAGCAAGGATGCCAGAAAACATAAGTTAAAGAAAGGAGGAATATTGTAACATTCAAAAACTGCAGAAAAATGTGAAAACAACTGCAAATATTTGTAAAATGATGATATATTTAGTAGATATAAATACAGTCAACCAGTCATCCTATGGTCACACACCAAAAGAGAAAGCTATTTGTAAAAATACAGATTTTTAATGTGGTTCTTATTTTATTTTTTTTAGAGTTACCATGTAAATGTACACCTTTTTTTCTGTAATTTTGCTAGATACAATCTGTAACTTAACAAAAGTAGCTGTTGAATAGTTGATTTACCATTTTTTAGCCCTTCATATACATAATTTTTCTTTTGAATAACAGCAAATATCAGTATAATAATAGTGTTTGATGATTTAAAGGCAGAAGAAATATTGTCATGTTTTTATAATTGTGTGATCTTTTTTATTTGTACTTCAGTTAATATGTTTTTCTTTCTGTGATTTCTAGCTATTACTTGTAACAGTAAAAAACAAACAAACAAACAAACAAACAAACAAACAAAAAAAACCCCAAACAGTGAGTTCTTAAAACCTGATTTAAAAAAACAAACAAAAAAAACCCACTTATTTTTTACAGTGTGGGTTGAGAGGGGGAAGCAGAGGAGGATAAAGCAGCAGCTGACAAGTTTAACTTTACATCCTACTTCCTTAAATGACCTTTTTCTCACAGACCAACCTGAGAGGACGGCGCTGGTGTTTCTCGGCGGCGTGTGCGTCGGCCTCCTGGTCACGCTGTGCGCCATCGTCTTCCAGATTCACTGCCGAGCAGACTGCCACTACGGCAACAGCAACAACCCCCAGCATCGCCACAGGAACAAACATCATCATCGCCGCCATCACAACTGTCCCATCCATCAGCAGGGCGACGGCAACCCGGACCACACTGCCGTGGTGGCCTCTGGGCCCACTGGGCCCACTGGGGACAGCGAGTCGGAGGACTGGGATGACACGTCTGACCTGTCGGCACGGAGACGCAGGCGCTTCGAGAGGGCCCTGCTGCACGCCACCATGTTCACGTCAGCCGAGGGTACACAGACACGCACTCATCAAGATCAGTGTAATCAGCTGATAGCATGCAAACACTAAAAAACAGGCACAACTACATCCAGCAAGCTGTTTGTCAAAATCTAAATCACCCTGTGCAATTTTCATTTCCATGTTTTTGGCCTCATACAGTGTCAGGACACGTTTCTGCGCTCTCCCTGTAGATGCTCGCTCTGATTATCTCTCTGAGCTCGGCTGTCAGATGCACTCAGACACACATGCTCCTGCTTTAAAATAGAATAATGAGAAGAATAGATAGTTGATGGTTATGTGAATAGACAGTGTATGAGTGTGTTTCAACCTTTTTTTTTTCTCCTCTGTGTGTGTGTGTGTGTGCGCCATCAGAGCTGGACCGAGCCCAGAGGCTAGAAGAGCGGGAAAGGATTCTTCGGGAGATCTGGATGAACGGACAACCAGACATCAGCACGGTCACTCAAAGCCTCAACAGATATTACTGACACGAAAGTAAACACAAGGTCAGACCGGGAGGCAGACGGAGAGGAAAACGGAAGACGTAGAGGCAGACAGACGGATGAACAAATGGACGCGCAGGTGAACAAACACTGTTGTGAAATGAACAATGATGTATTGACAGCACCAAAGAGTCTCTTATCAAACTGCCGGTGACCGTGCAGCCGGTCCCTCCAGGAACACACGCGATGGCTCTGGTCCTCCAATGTGAGATGACAGTTTCGTGTTTGGAAGAAGAAAAAGACACTACGGAGCTGCTGTCGTCTGCTGCAGATGTTTTGTAGATGCTGCGACGTGTAACTGCCGCCGTGAAGTTACAGGGATTTTCTAACTTTTCCATTTTTAACAGGTGCTTTTCCAGATGCGCAGGAGGAGGAACGGGTGCCGTGTATGAGTGTACAGTACGGATTCAAGTGATGTGACACTGTGTTGTTGTTGCACTTTTCCTCAGCTCACCCTTGTCTGTCTGTGAACCTGCTATAATTAATGGGTTAAGTACTGGAAGCTGAAAATAAAGGCAACAGGAAGGGAAAAGGGGTAAAAATGGAGAGAGATCAATCTGATGTTTCCTGTCTGAAGAGGAGGACATTAACTCTGCTGCAGTTCTGAACCTCCTTTATAATGACTGCACACTAATAAGTGGGACATACAACGGTAAAGTAATGCATCAAGGATTACCTAACAGCTCTGTATGCTGGCAGCGAATCAGTTGTTGCACAAGAGAGCATTGTGTGTGAGAAGGTTGTGTTCTGTTTCAGTCTGTGTTGTTGAGTTGAAAAAGTTAATAAAAATTCAATTCCAGGATTTCATGAAAGCTGTTTTTGCGTATCATTCAGTGAATCCCCCACTTTAACACATCTAAAGTGGTCCACATTCCTTTGGTTGCACATGAAGCTTCTCTTCTCCGGGGAGCCACTACTGAGGTCTGCAGGAGTCAGTCGAGGACTCCACCTGGTGTNTTCTGAAACCCCCAGATGGCTTCATGTGCCTCGTGTCTAAATCTCAGGGTCATTTCTGATTTGTTTTCTCTCCAAGATCAGCTACTGGATTTTTTTCCTTGTAAATAAGAGTACAGTATGTACAGAGGCAGAAAGAGGACAGATCGCCAAAAAAAAAAGAAAAAAGAGCCGAGGGGGGAGAGAGAAACAGGTAGAGAGAGAGAGAGAGAGAAGTATGACAGAAAAGAGCAGAAGGAGAGTTTAGTTTGGAGGCAGAAGGAGAAAACAGGCGAAGGGGAATCAACACATGTGGAGAAACAGGAGCAGCATGGACACAGAGAAAGAGAGAGAGAGTGAGTGAGTGACATGTGCACAGAGGATGAGTCTGAGAGGCCCTCAGTTCCACTTGACTTAGTCATGGGAATGATTTGATTATCACCACATGAACAGCTGTCTTATGTAACACACACACACACACACACACACACAAAGCGAACTCAGAAATAACGAGGGGTCTGTGTTGTGGCCAAAAACCTACTCTGGGTAAAGGTGCCCTGTAGCAACAGAGAGACAACAGAGTCAAAGAGAAAGTCCACATCAAAGAGAACCCAGCGAGGCAGGCGGGTCTCATGTGGTGACCGGGACGTGTAGAATTAAAAAGTAAAACTCTTCCGTAACCCATTTTGCACTGTTGCTTTTCAGTTTTGAAAAATGAAATGCTTGCGATTGGTTGAAGCGTTCAGGTCCTTCACTTGTTGCCTTCGCTGACTCCATGATAAACCCACGAATGAATTATGGCCCGACTCTGCACTTCCCCTTTTACTCCACAAAGCTTTAAAAGCACCTTTCAGCTCAATGTTTTGATTGTCCAGTCTCTAGTTTTACTGCTTTAGTTAAATGTTCATCAGTTGATTGTCCATATGCATCTCTTTCCAGAGAAAGAGCCTCCAAACCGGAGGCAGTTAATGACAGAATGAAATGTGCTTTTTTGGTTTTATTTCTTTGACATTTCCTGGTAAGTACAGATTATACAGCGGAATGGCAGCTGAGTGTTATAATAAATTAGACTATTAGTAGTGATGCATTAGGCAGCAGATTAATGTGCAGCTCAACCAGTCACGTCTGACAATGCATCACATTTTATGAATTCATCATAACTTTTGTATGCAAACAGTTTATCTGCAGAACGACAGAGCTGTAAAAAAGTTGTAGTGATGTGAAAGTACGCCATGAAACTGTCAAATGTAGTAAAAGTACAGGTACTCAACTACTGTTTGAGTACTCGGAATTAAAATGAAAGGAGTTTTCTGACAATAAATTCCCTCATAGAGGCAAAACCAAAAAAAAAAAACATCTCGCTAACAAACATTGCGGATGTGAAAAGACACTGTAACTTAGTCTGCTGTGTAATATCGCTCTGTTGCTATTAGAAACACATCACTGAGGCACATACTGGAAAAAAATAATGTGGTTTTTGTTTTTGGTTTCACTGTTGATTAACAAAATTTACTAAAAACACCCAACTGTTTAGGAAAATTGGCCATTTGCTAAACTGAAGTTCCAGTTTCGGGACCCAAATTAGATGAATTACATCTTTCTCTTGTCGCTGGGTTTGGGGTTAAGTACCACAGACCGCCGAATGTGAACGAGTCAACCACGAAGCAGAGAACTCTGGGACATCTGTGGCTCGGTCAGGAGATTTCTGAGCGAAGTGCGTGTTTAAATCCGTCGATAAATATTAACTGCTTTCATCCATAATGAAGCTGACCCTGTTTTATTTTGCTGATGGACGAGATTGCCCACAGTGACCCGAGGCTTTCCCTCCGGTCATAAATAATGAAGCGAAAAGCCAGCGGAGCAAAGGCAGCCCCAGCGTTCCCACTCGGCATCTGAAACTCCCTCACTGTTTCAGAGATGACTGACAACAGTTCCTCACACACACACTGCACGGAGCTGAGGGAGTTAATATTTTACCACTTTGAGGAGGAGGAGGTGCAGGCATGGATGCATCATGGATTGACAGTGGTGCATGTATTCTGCATATAGAGCCGCTTTTATTTTTAAAAGTACCAGTAATGATGACGAGGTGACAGCGGTGGGTGGTGTCACTGATGGAAGTGATTTGGTTTTCTCATCACATTTGCCTGCGCTCGTGGGATAGTTCCATTTTTTTCCTTAACAAATTGCTTGTTTTCAATAATTGTCGGTTGAATCGTTTTAATCCTCTCTGTGGGAGAAAGTTGGATTTATCTGCTGGGACTACGTCTTATTCATTTCTTCCTTCTTCTCCTGTATGGCAGAGGCTTGAAGAGGAAGACGTCTGTGTTCTACCTTTGTCTCACACTCAGGGCATAATAAAGACCTTAACAGCCATGAAGGATTCACTGTAATGTTCTCGCTCCTGTAATTTGTGCAGCTCATTGAAAGGCAAAAGCTAAAAGTTGCTGAGATTTCATATTGTGTTCACTGAAGCACATCCAGTGTTATTATTCTTGTGAGTAATATTAAGTGTTGTATGAATGGTTCATTACTGAGTTCTCCTGAAACATGTTCAGATGCTGAATCTGGATCAGAGAAGGAAAAGGGGGACAAAGTGGAAAAAGAAATCAGGGTTGAAACATCTCGACAATGAATCGATTGTCATGACGTCTGGTATGACGTCAGGCTTTTATTTTCAGGATGAAGAACTTTCTGATCTCTGATGACTTTTTTTTCCCGACCCCATCATCAGGTTTCTCATTTTCATTGTCCTGCATTTAAGTTTGTGAATAGAAACCTTAGAAACTACGAACATCATCCCAACCATAGCTTTCCTTTAGTGTTAAAGACATTAGCCTGCTAACATGCTAAATAAACTATTGTAGCAGTAAGCTCTAAGCTTGTACCTAAAAAGACCTAAAAGAGTCGACTCCTGTTTACCGAACACCAACACACGTTGTATGTGTGGGGAAGTGTTGTGTGGCGTCTACAGACACTGACCTCGTCACTTCTGACCACAGACTGTTTATAAAAGGTCATGAAGCAACAATGATGATGTTTGTTGACAAGTGTTTTGAAGCCTGGAGTTGAGAACCTGGAGAACCTTGGAACACTTTGCACACAAATACAATAGCGACCTGTCAATCACAGGGGCAGCGGTCCCCAACCACCGGGCGGCGGACCAGTACAGGGCCATGGCTCATTTGGTGCCAGACCGCACAGAAAGAATGAAAATGTTTTATTGGTTTGTTTGATTTCCAGCAGTCTGCAGTGTGTTTTATTTTGAAAAGTTACAAACTCGTCTTCCCGTCACTTCCACCTGTACTTGCTTCTCGCACTTGACTTTCATGCCTGACCATTAAACAAAGCCGTCAAGCCAACCGCTGCCAAAATACATAAATAAAACTAATCGATGCTGAGACAGAAGAAAAAGTAAATATATATTTAACAACAAAACTTAATTTTATTTGTTTATGACATTTTTTTAACAGGAAAAAAACAATTAGCATTTGTTATACGCGCAGTGACCGGCCCGTAGAAAACTGTCTTGCTTTAAAGCGGTCCGTGGTGCAAAAACAGGTTGGGGACGGCTGCCCTAAAGCATACCCTGCATGATTGTCTATTTTACTGAAAATCAGATCATAATTTACAAAATGAACTTCATGTTGTAGTAAAGGAGACATAAAACTTGCAATTCAGACCATAAACTCGTTAGGACATTGTTTGCTGAGGAAACAAACCAAGAAAGAAGTAAGATTGTTTTCTCATAGACTTCCATACAGTGAGAAACATCCAGAGGAGTCGCCCCCTGCTGGTCATTAGAGAGAACACAGGTTTAAGCCACTTCTGCATTTACTTTTGAGACCTGGAGGCTTTGTCGATCTTTCCTATGCAGTCTACGATCTCGACTTACCTCCTCCTTCACAGCTAGATTCAGAAGTTTCAGGTGGATGCTGGACTGGGGGGGAGGAGGTTTGAAATGCTGTCAGCAACAGCAGCAGTAGAGCTTTCAGGTTAGCAGTGTGCGCAGGCATGCGGCAAAAGAATGAGCAAAGTGCTGGCAGCTTAAGTACACATCCACGATTATAAAGGTGTGTTGCAGTGAGAGGAGTCTGTTGTGGAGAAGTGAACTCAAGGTGGACTGTTCAGACTCAGATGTTAGATGTAATACCTCCGTTCTGATCTGGTGCTGTTGGAAAAAGGCAAAACAAATGAGTTTGTGATGCTGCTCTCTTTATATTCAGAGCTAGCAGGGCTCATTGCACTAAAGAGTAAAGTTTTCTCACCTCGTTTTTAGGGCACCTTTACCCGTTTCTCTTCCATACCTGTTGAGAGCTGTTGCCCTGGATAACTCTGTTTGCCCCCAACCTGCAGCAGCAGCAGCAGCAGCAGCAGAAGGGGTTTTCAGGTTTTTCCTGTTGCATAACATCAGCACAAAAATAACTCGCAAAGATGACAGGTTGCCGGATAAAATTTTCATGAACGTTATCTGATCTGAAGTTATTTTTAGCCAAATGACAATTTAGGTGTAAACCCTCGATCTCGTAACATTTAGTCTCTGTACATACATACACTGGGTAGCTTCACAAACAGCGGTCATGTAATCTGTGCGTGCAGTGAGAAGGTGAATTCCCAAACACAGCTGAGTGAATTACATATTTACATAATAGAACTGTGTGTGTGTCTCTTTTTCTGATTCATTACCATCCATCATCTTCACCAAGAAGTGCGCTGAATATGTTTTTGGTTCACTCTTGTTTACTTTTTTCTTATGTGTTGTGTGTAAAAACATAAAAAATGCCAAAAATCTATTTACACGTGAGATGTTCTTCTATTTTTTTTTTATAGCAAAAGGTATTCTGTTGGCTTTTCTGCCACCCAGTCCCTCCCTCTCTCCTTCTTTCTCTCTCTCCTCCCTCTGCTGAATGCATGAAACACCGAGAAAAAGGCACGAGAGCAGAAGCAGCCAGTGTGCATTCACAACCGTGCACGCCTGTGTGTGCGCTGGTCGGCCTGAGCGAGAGTCAGAGAGGAGGGAGATTCGGTCGACCTGTCGGGGTCTCTCATGTCACAGTTTCTGCCCTCAGGAGCTGACCTCTGCCTCTCTGTCTGGAAGATAACCTGGAAAAGCTGAAATGGAATATCGGGAAACTGCTCTGTGGAAAACAGCCGGGGCGACGTTCCTCCTCCTGCTGCTGCTGCTGCATCAGAGGCAGAAGAAGTGAGGGCAAGAGGGGAGAATGACTGACGTTTTTAATTTGTATCTACATAAGAAAGTGAAGAGGAGACGGAGTCTTGTGGGCCTGTCTGACAACTGTGGGAGGACGGAGGAGATTTATACGTATAATTGTACTCTTGGTGTGCTTTTGGCTTTCTTTGAGGGAAAGGCAAAGAGCAGAGAGGAGATAATAGGAGAGGAGAGGAAAGGGGAGGAGAGAGTAGAGCGCAGAGAGTAGAGGAGTCCAGAGGAGGAGGAGGAGGAAGAGGAGAGGAGAGGAGTAGACGCACCAGATGGGATCTTGGCATTAATAAAAATGTAAGTATGAACATTTAGTTTGCACACGATGCTGCTGCTCCTCATGTCTTTGGTGACCATCCTGATGATGATGATGATGGAAGTATTTCAACCTGCTGGATTACTTTGTTTTTCCTCCACATAATTTCCTCTTTCTCCCTCTCTCAACTACATTTAATTTCTCTTGCTCTAATTCCCCCTCCCCGTGTCTTAATTCTATTTCTGTGCTGCTGGCTCCCCTCTCTCTCTCTCTCTCTCTGCAGGTCACGTTAGATAGTAACGGTGCAGCGGGAGAGCGAAAGGCCACCGTCACATTAGATTAACATTAGCAGACACACACAGAGGGAAAATATACGCTTAATGTGTGAGGAGCGCGATGTGGAGGATGTGTGTGAGGAGAGTCTTTGTGTCTCCCCCCTGTGTGTGTGTGTGTGTGTGTGTGTTTGTGTGTGTGTGTTGGAGTACAGTGTGAGCTGAGCTGAAACAGTCGTAGCAACTGTATGGTTTTCTTTAACCGCGTGGAGAAAAACAAAGAGCTATTGTGCCACATAAGTACTTGGCCAGACGCAGAAAGGAGAAGTGAGAGGAAGATCAGTGTCTGTGACAAAACAAAAGTGGGATGGGAAAGTATTTTGCACTGACTGTTGGCATGTTGGATCCAGACTGAACATTAGATTGGGTCACATTTTCTCTTGCTTGCATGTGTACTTAGTCTTCTTCTCTTTAACATTTTTTTTTCTCCACATGGTGCTTCACATAAGTTAAAGTTTAAAGGAATCATTTGACATATTCTGAAACATTCACACCAGCAAGGGTTCGATAAGAAGCTTGATGCCACTGTTTGGTGAATCAGAACCTCCAGTCAGCAGCTCCGTATGAATATCAGCAGTGCCTGACTCTTTCTAATTTCCGTCTAATCCAGAAATAAAGAAAAAGGGTGGAACTGAGAGCTGAGTGGGCCACGCAGACCTACCTGTCACTCAGAGTGACCTCTCCTTTGACCCTATTCGGGGCTTTTGAGGTCTTTTGGACCCCAGGCCATTTGGTTTAGGTGACAGGTATTGGTTTTTGGGGGTTTTTTTGAAGATTTTTTATTTATTTTTTAAATATAAAAAGAGGGACATTTGTCATGCATTTGGAACCAAAAATACGCCAACTTATCAGAACATTTATTTAACACAGTATAAACGTCTAAAATCAATACCAGCTAATATTTTTCACATATTCTTTCTTAGGGTCCAATGAACCCTGAAAGGCGTTCTACTTATGGCAACATGAAAGTCCTGAATAGGATTAATTAGCAACAGCTTCAAGCTTTGATACCATTGAAATAATTAAGTTATATATATATATATATATATATAACACCCTCCATAAAGTTGTCAGAATGGGGAAATTAGTTACAGAGACCAAAACTGTTTTTTGCAGCAGGCTACAAACGTGTTTATTTCTACTGTAAAGGTGAACATTTTGTCATAAGGGTCTGTGGGGATTGACTCACTTTTGGAGCCAGCCTCAAGTGGACGTTCTAGGAACTGCAGTTATTTAGCATTTCAGAGTTTGCTGTTTTACCAGCAACTCTAAAACTGGCCTGATAGTTCAGCAGTTTGTTGTTTTTTTGTTTTAAAAAAAGAAGCCAAATCATCAGGGTTATATGCTGGATTATTATATTATATTTTTAGATTTTGCTCAGTTTTAGGGGAGACCAGCGTAGGCTTCAGGAAATGATTAGTCCCAGTAGCCAGGTACATTACCCAAGTTAAAAACGGAAATAGTTACTTTGAGTCTTTTGGGGCTATGAACAAATGAGAATTCTGTATTAGTGCTGCAGCTATATATAAGGATAGTTCCAAAACTTTCTCTAGATAGATAGATAGATAGATAGATAGATAGATAGATAGATAGATAGATAGATAGATAGATAGATAGATAGATAGAATGTGTGTGTGAGAAAAAGCCTCTCACGTGTTGTGTTGTCGGTATAAACAGCTTTTGTTGTCTAGACTGTTGGACAGAGTGTGAGTGGCTGTAATGAGCTGGCNAAATACAAACAGGTACCACTGACAAAAAATAGGTTCTTATGACACACCAACTTTCCAGATTAATCTTAATTTGCACTCTTACAGATCACATGATCATCTTCAAAGTTCCTCATCTATGAAGCCATAAGTCTCCCTAAAATGATGAGGTTGATGAAGAACTGGACTGTTGAAGAACTTGTTTTACAGGATGCAGAAAATGTTTCTTCTGCACCTTTAATGTCCACAGAAATCATCTGATTCATTTCAAAGAGTGACTTCAAAGAATCTGTGTAAGTCTTAGAAGCATCAGATCAAACAGGGTGTTTGTTTGTCTGATCTGATCTCATTAAAATCACGTCACCTCCAATGTTTTCATTATTGGACATTTAAGATGAGCGAGTGTGATTCAATGACCAAATCAGACCATAAAATCCTGATAATGTTTGGATTTAAACTCACTATCATTCAGCTGTGCTCTGCTGTGAGCTGTGCTCTGCCTCCTCGGTGTCTCCCTGCATCACCAGCAGCAGTGCTATCGCTTTAACGGGACGGGCGGTGACGTTGGGACGGGGACACGGAGCGGGGAGAGCGGGCTGCCGCAGCTGGACCGACCGGGACCAGAACAGCACGACGGGGCCTGCAGACGTTCTTACAGAACCCAGCGAACCGGAGGGACGGATCTGCTTTTCGTTCCGCCATGAGGGACTACTCGGCCGCTCCGAGCAACGGAGGCGCCTGCATGCCGTGCTGCCAAGTTTGCGTCTTCGCCTTTACCGCATTTCTCATCGTTGCGGAGAGGACGGCGCGTGAGTCCTACCTGGGACACACACACACACACACACACACACACACACACACACACTGTAGACGGGCTGTTTGAGGCTGATTGTGATGATGTGCCTGAATCCTGCATGGATGTTTTTTGACTTTATTGTGCGCAACATCCGAGCGCACGCACACTTCATGTATGCAGAACAGCTGGAGGAGAGAGATTCTTTTATTTATTATTATGGATGAGGTCTCATATTATAAATCCACCGCACAAAGTTGTGCATTTGTTGTCACCTCGGCGCCTCTGTTGTCATAAATAATAGAGTCCCACCACAGTCTGCAGTCAGAGCGCCTCTTTCCATTTTTTACATCCTGCACGTTATGAAATCCTGCATGCCGCAGGGCTGCTGACTCATGTCAGAGTTTCCCACCTTGCTCATCTGCACCACGCCAGGGTCTGCGAGATGATTCCTGAATAAAACAGCAAAGCGGAGCCATGTTGTCATATTTCAGCGCTCTTTTTTTTGGAGGTGCATGAATGGACGAGGGGATGGCGGACCCCAGGATGAGGGCCTAGTCCGCCCCGGACAGCCCGCCTGTTCGGCAGCTCCAACGGTTCAGGTTTCATGCGTGGAGGGGAGGCAGAGCTGCAGAGAGGGATGTAGAGAGCAGAGGAGGAGAGAACAGCAGCCTGCCTGTCAGTGAACCTTAGATGAGGTGAAGTGCACAGCAGAGGACAATGGAAATGTGGAGACACCCACAAACTGCACACTGAAATGTGCACATTCTGGCAATTATCCACTGATCAAATGCTGCAGGTTCCTCCTGACATAAACATTAATGTTGTAGACACTGCAGTGTAAGCAGTGTCACACAAAAATACTGCCTGTGTGTCATTTGCTGAAGCTGGAATGCACTGGGCTGCATTATCTGCACATCCACTTTTCTTTAAAAAGTCTGATATTGTGCACGTAGTTCATGAGGCTGGTTTGTTTTCTAATCACACCAGTCATATAATCCAGTGTTCCTAAGGTTTGTCCACATCCCGTTAACATGACTTATTCATCATCCATCACTCATGCAAAAGCAGAGATACTAAAATTGGAAAATTCTCCTTTTCAAGTTCAGATTCCTGCATCCAGACACAAGCAGCAGAATCATTTCATTGTGCACATCATTAAACCATGATGCATGTGAAAAACATTTGAATGAGGTAAAGTGCTGCTGCTGAGCACTTTAATCCATCAGTCGGTGTCATATTTCATAAACAGGCTGCATTTGTGATCATATAGCTAACTATTGATGTAATGAATAAATGGAAGAGCAATACAAGGTACATTATGTAGTATGCTTGTTTTATTGTTGTTTTCTGACTCAGAGAAACAATAATTGCTTTTTATTCTGTGTGGAAGATGATTACATTTAGCCACCTGTGCTCAGAGGTTTGGTGGTGAGATATTCTTGACCACTGAGTTAATCCACACCTGAGTCAGGTGGAGTCCTGCAGCTGTTTTCATTGTTGATTCATCTGTCAGTTGTTTTCTTGATGAATCCATTTGTTGTTTGAAAATGGTGAAAATGTCAGTGTTTCTCGAACACTAGGAGGATATGTAATCAAGTCTTTGTGTTTTGCCCGCAGATATTCAGTTTACAGCCATAGAAAAGCAACTTATTGCTTATCAAACTAGTTTGTGATTATTTTTTACAGTTGATCAAGCAATCTTTACATTTTTGCAGCTTTAGTCTCACATGACGTTAAAGGACAATGATCAGACAGTGGGATCAGTACACAGAAACTCCTTTGACCAGCGATTATAAAAGTTTAGGCCGTAGTCAGATACTTGAGTGTCCACAACTGTTTAGGGAGTCAGAAGATTAGCTCTAACTTTTAAAGGGGCTTGTGCTACAAAGCAGAGTTTAGTAGAAATACAGCTGTCTTAGTTCCTGAAGAAATGTCTCTAGTTGCGGTTCACACCTGGACTTACGTGTGCATGTGTGTTTTCATGATTCAGGCTTTATTATCATGTTTCAGCAGCTTCACAAACAGCTGCTGTTCCAGCCCGGTCAGCAGAACATTTAAAAGTGTTTAATTGTGTGTGTTTTCCATCTTCCCTCAGTGATCTACTGCTTTGTCTACTATCTGTGGGTGGGCCACAACTACTGCTATGCCCATCTCGCCGGCTTCACCGCACTGTTCCTGCTGCCAGGTGACGACCACAAATAGCTTAATAGATAGATACAGTGGGTTAACTATAGAGTTTGATATCATTTCTCTTCTCCCTGTGTCTCTCAGGTTGGGGTCCCCAGTGGCTCAGTTATCTGTGGTACCTCTCAGATGGACGAATCCGCAGGAAGTCTCTCACATGGACACACATTCTGCACCTGGGTCTCTTCAAAAGGTGAACTAACCTTCTTTGTTTGTGTGTTTATGTGCGTGTGATGGAGATACGGCACACAAGGAGGCTCAAACTGTCTTCAGCTCTGGTTGGAGAGGAGATTACGAATGCAGTTTAAAAATGCATGATGATAATGACTATAATGATGTCTCTCTGTCCTGCTCAGGCTGTGGGAGTGTATGCGCCTGCCGGATGAGGATGTGTACTGTGAGATCATGCAGCAGGCGGATGCGTCCGCCTTACGCCTGTTTGAGGCCTTGGTGGTCACCCTCCCCCAGACGCTGCTGCAGACTTATGTGCTCATCTGCACTGATATAGGAATCAAATCTCCAGGTAAAACAGAGGCTGGATGATAAATGTAGAAAGTATGAGTGCAGTAGTGTATGTAGTAGTAGCAGAGGATGTGAAGAATCAGCAGATAGTTACCAAATATATTTATGTGAAAGACTCTTTAATAGATTTGCAGTTAACTAAATTTCGTGCAGTTAAAATTGATTTGTGTTTATTTATTTGGCATTACCTTCTGCCACAGTGACACTAGCCATCCAGGGTCCACAATCTTAAAAAAATCACCACAAAATCACACATGAACCACAAACAGATATCCTACCATTCAAAAACACTAAAGTAATATCTGCATTATTATACAAACACAATAGAGCAAGAAGAGCAGTGATTCAGACTCCTTCAAGTTTGTTCAGTCATATAATGAAGCTTAGATGTATTTTTATGTATCTTTTAAAGGTGAGGACACTACATTCTGTAATTGTTTGAGGCAGTTTGCTCCATTTATATGATGACTGTTTTTTTTGTTGTTGTTGTTTTTGGATGAGTATTTTGAGAACCGTACAAAATGTTGTAGCTGGTAAGAAAATGAGTGTTTTCCTTATAAACAGAATTAAACCATAATGAAGTTTAATGGACATCCTAAAACAAATTTTATTCTGGACTAGATGAAATCTGTTTACTCGTTATTAGTCTCAGCAGACCATGTAAATGAAGAATGCTCCAAATAAGAGAACAGTAATGACACATGTATGGAAGCAAATTAAAAATGTAAGAGGTTAAATTTCTATGTAGAGTCAACAATATGTAGAGTTGCCAATTTTTCGGTATTGGTAACAGCTGGAAAAATGTTGTACATATTTGTTCCAGGTTTCTTTTATCCCTCACATTTTTGTAAAGTAGTAAATCAAAGAAATTAAACTTTTGCTCTTTTTAAAAAAGAAAAAATTGTGGCACATGTTTGCCGTCCTACACAAAAGAACTTTCTCTGTTTGCCGTACTTCCAGCCATGGTTGAGCTATTACAGTGTTGAGATTGAGAATACTGTGAGTGCCCACGAGCTTCATACATGGAACTAATTTTTGAGAGGAGTTCAGTGCGTTGCAGCGCTAAAAGCAATAAACAAAAGTGTCAGTGCAATAAGTCAAACACCATGAAGTGTAACTGAGGAAAAAGATATGTCCTCCAATAGAAGCAATCAGCTTCCCCAGACAAGAGCCAGTAACAGAGCGGCTGAATAATCTGTTGTTGCAGCTTTAAAACTGAATCATGTCTCCACCATTTTTTCAGGTGTGCATGCGCTGCTGGTGTTCTGTATACATATAGCATTTCAGGGATTCGAATTACTCACATTTCTTCTCCTCTCTGCAGCCTCGGTGTGTTTTGTGGTGTGTTTGCTGTCCCTCGCCTGGGCCTTGGTCCTCTATGCCAGAGCCTGTTCGCTCATCAGACCAGGACACTTGCAAATGACCCCCGCTGCCATTCTGTGCCGACTGCTGTGGAGGGTGAGCTAAAAGACCAGCATGTGCAACATTAAACATGACAGTGTTCACATCATGAGCGGCTGCCTGTGTGACGGATGTGTTGTCTCCGTCTGCAGGTCAGTATGCTGGGATCCCGGTTTGCTGTTCTCATGCTCTTCACTCGCATCTTCAAACAGTGGATCCTTGGAGTCATCGGTAAGTGTGGATGTCAAGACTTCATCTAAAACTGTATGTTGTTAAATCTGACCAACTGTTGAAGTTTCTCCACTGGTCATGATCCACCTGCTGTAGCATCAGGTTTATCTTGTATTAGTGTGTTTATGTATGTGTTAGAGGCTGAATACTGAATCGGATGTGTGTGTGTGTGTGTGTGTGTGTGTGTGTGTGTGTGTGTGCCAGGTGTGCACTGGCTCGGTGCAACTTTCTGGATGGTGTCTCAGCAGACCGACATCATACGATCAACTAGTCGATGGAGACTCTTCAACCTTGTTCTGGGAGCCATTCACATCTTTCTCTTCCTCAATGTGAAGTACGGTCAGTCCAGATACCGCATGGCCGGCTTCTACCTGGTATGTTGGTGTTTGGGATCACTTCATGCTCCTGTGCTGATGTTAACATGGATTTTATATGCAAAACCTGTGTCAGACACAGAAGTTTTGAAAAGTACGAGCCGTTGGAAACACTGAACACATGCATGACATTTTTAAAGACATGGCTGCTGGCAGAAGACCTTGTGTTAGGTGCTTTGGAGGAAAGTGTTCAGTGTGGGCTGCAAATGATGCAACACTTGAATCATTGCTCTCTCTAAGATAACGGTTGTCAGATGCTGGCTGGATATAAGACTGTAACATAGATAGATAACAGCTAAATGTAAAGCAAATACAGATATATGATGTCATTTTGGGAATGGATAACCATCCTCCTGTGTTTCTGTTCATTCTTCCTCAGGCCATGTTTATAGAGAACGCTTTTCTTCTTCTGGCCTCCTCCTGGTTGTTCACCATGGTGTCCTGGGACACTGTTGGTATCCCAGCTGCAGTGTTCTGCAGCTTCCTCATTGGTGAGACGCACAGGAGCATGCTGTATAAAAATTTAATGATCTACAAGTACAGAATTTGTTCATAATTTAATGAAAAAGGGGGCTGTTCTAAGTGTGACTGCCTGTCGGGTTGTTTGCTTATTATATTTTGAGAATTACAAACGTAAAGCCTTCACGGTTTCCCCTCTTGTCGCCTGTTTTTCTCTCCCCAGGAGTGATAGCGTTGGTTCTGTACTATCGTTTCCTCCATCCAAAGTCTTTTGAGATCTTCCAGAGTATTCGTCACAGAGGGATCGGTGGAGCCTGCATGGAGCGTGGATCTACACTGTCATTGGAGGAGAAAGTCACACCCACTTTCCATCGCCATGCGACGCTGTCTGGTCTGTTTTGTAAAACAATGACATATCTATCTGTCTATCTGTCTATCTGTCTATCTATCTATCCATCTATCCATCTATCCATCTATCTATGTATCTATCTATCCATCTATCCATCCATCCATCCATCCATCCATC